CAAGAAGGACGGGAAGAGACGCGACCGACGTCGTGAGTCACAACTATAGGTTTAAAGATGAAAGGGTTTGCAAAAATGAATTTGGATGCCCAAAATAAAATAACTATTTTACGCGAAGTCGCTGACACAGTACTGTACTACACAAGATAATAATTTACATGATATTAATTCAAATATTCTTAGAGGATTAAAAATCCAAATCCCTGCTACAGAGAACAGTTATATGGGTACCTACAGTAAGTATTTTAATATATAAAACCTTGAAACAAAATTTATTTGCTTTTTAATTATGTATAATAAAAAGTTTAAAAAAGGAATGACAAGGACTTTCTCAATTGCAAAGACGTTCATGTTTGGCAGGCAAAACACAACAATGTTAGGTAGAAGGATTGTGAATTTAATGATTAATACCAAGGTTAAACCTAAGTTTCATTTGCCTAAGCGCAAGTTTGCGCAGACCGGCATCGTTGTATCTGGACCTCCGAGGATGCCGTGCTCATACGCGGTAATAACGTATTTTAGTTAGTCATATGTTACTACTCGACTGCCGGAACCGGATTACTTAATGTCTGGTGAAGATATTTAATGGAATAGTTTAAAATAACGTTTTATCATTTTCAGGAAAAAGTATTCCACTGTTTCTTTATAACAGCGTTTTGGCTGGCACCGGTTTTATACTTCTTGACGCAAGTGAAGGTATGGAGACGCGAGTATATTCAAGGCCCGAAGGAATAAAGTATTGAACGCATAATTTTGTTTTATTGTAACTTAACATATAGTTCTTACAGTAACAGGCATTAACATAGCCCAAAAAGTTGTACAATCCGTCTGCATATCTGCCGAATGTTGTCTTCGGCTTACATGGTGTTCCAAAGACCCTAAAACTTTACTTTGCAATGCGAGGCAAAACTTTTCTGATACCTTAAACATAATTGCTTATTTTATTTAAGAGTCTCCCCGTGACCACGGCTGCTGCAAAGCATCGGAAACGTCGGGCCGAAGTTAAAAATCATTTTGAAATAAGTTTAACTCGCATTTTAAGCCGTTAAAGCTCCGAAATATTTTCATTTTGGTAACAGATATCACATAATAATATATAAAGATAATGTGAAGTTCGCATAGATGACAAAAAACTTTAGTAAGATAAAAGGTTCTTTATTCTATAGCAAGTCTGTAGTTAACTGTTAAACTGTATTGCTTTTGCTGTGGACTGATGTTTGTTGTTTACAATTTACAAACTACACATGCATTGTATTGTATTAGCATTTAGCCCGTTTTAGTAATAAATGTTAACATATTTAGGTATTCCTATGCAACAGTGTGATATAAAATAAACCATGAAGGAATCAAAACAAGGACAAACACCTATTGAAGATTTACAAGAACTCCGTAACTACTTCGCGAGTCATAATGTTGTGCGCGAATATATAGCTCATACCTCAAAAGTTCACTCAGTCGGCTGGTCTTGTGATGGTAGACGTCTTGCTTCGGGTTCCTTTGACAAAACAGTGGTCATATTCAATTTGGAGAGAAATAGACTTGTAAGTATCACCACTGTTTAGTCTGGTCAGCATTTGGAAACACACTACTGAATACCGGCTGTTGCCTAAAAATTCAATTTTATGAGAAACCCATTATGCATTTTTGGAGAACCCGTCATCTAAAACTTCAAAGAGGTTATAATTGCAATAATGTTTAGTCCACTGTGCAACCAGGTGATGATTATAATGGTTAAAGATCTTAAAATAATATAATAAGTAGGCATTTAGTCGCAAATAAATTGTATGGATCTTTCTGAGACCCTTCAGCTCATTCATGCCAACATTTCCCAGTAATTGAAAAAATCTTTACAGGTCCAAGACTTTGTGTTCCGTGGCCATACGGGATCTGTTGATCAATTATGTTGGCATGCATCTCATCCTGATCTACTTAGCACAGCAAGCGGCGATAAATCAGTGAGAATATGGGATGCAAGGTATGTTAAATGTTACACAAAGAGGAAAGTCAGTTTGTTGAAATTGCAGGTTTAGAATTAGTTTTTAAGCTCAAGTTAATGAGTATAATTTTACCCGTACATGAGACAACATACAGTTTTAGTACAAATCCTGGTTTGCACTTCTAGGTTCTATGTAATAAAATAGGTGTTGTCAGTTGTTCATATACAGTTCTTTACAGAAAAAGGCCACATAATTGTCAATAGGTTTTATAATATCTCCACTACAAAACAAAATAAGCGTCCCCTTTTTTCCATTTACTTGCTTTAGTCAGAATTATTAAAGATTTGGTAAAATATGTAACATTAGGACAACACATACATAGACCATAATACTTTCAGATCACATAAGTGTGCAGCTGCAATATCAACAAAAGGTGAAAATATAAATATAGCATGGTCTCCCAATGGATCCACCATAGCAGTGGGAAACAAAGAAGATCTAGTCTCATTTATTGATGCAAGGAATTATAAAGTTGTGAGTAATTATGACGATAATCAAAGATTAAGGAAAATGCTGATAGCCTTGTTTGTAAAATGGTAGCAATGCATAGATAATAGTTAACAGGTCTTCAGTGGATTCGATCGATTTCATGTTAAAAATATAAAACACATAAAATATATGTTTTTAAATACTGTCTATGTTTACGGAGTAGTAAATTTAAATCGGCCCGACGTTCAAATACCCCCGAGACCACGGCTGCTGCAAAGCATCGAAAATGGACCGAAGTTAAAAATCATTTTCAAATAACTGTAACTGATATATCGGTTTTAAACCGTTAATGTTTTATTTAAATATATTTTTTATTAAATACATAATTATTTACTTCATTGAAAATTTAAAATTGGTATTAATAGAAATATTGTAGTTCTGCCCAAATTCAGGTCAAGTTTTTAGTAGTAGATATAATTTGCAAGCCAAAATAGATTGATACATATCCTGTAAATTAATAATCTGAACATTACAATCATCCAGAAACTGGTTATTAATACAATTATTGAGATTCTACTGTTATGTCTTTTTGATTCAGTCTAACCATTTATTTAACCTAGATTTCATTTCTACTCATGAAATCTTTGCAATATTTTATATTTACTGAAAATCAGTCAATGTTTTTATAGGTAACTGAAGAGCAATTCAACTTTGAAGTGAACGAGATATCTTGGAATAGCACTTCAGACCTTTTCTTCTTAACAAATGGATTGGGATGTGTTCATATACTAACGTAAGTTTTGTAACTGCCTTTAACTAAAGTGTATCTTTATAATATTATCATATACTATCATAATCAGAAATTAGTTATTTTAGTACTATATTTTTACTATTGTTTTAGATATCCATCACTTGAGTTGCAAACAGTTCTAAAAGCACATCCAGGGACTTGTATATGCATAGAGCATGAACCGACAGGACGGTACTTTGCGACGGGCTCAGCTGATGCTCTAGTTTCATTGTGGGATGTCAATGAACTGGCATGTCTGCGAGTGTTCTCTAGGTTAGTTTAAAAAAATTACATGTTTGGGCTTGGATTCTAACCAAAAAGTAAAAGTAACTATTTCTAAGCAATCTCAAAGGTATGGTAAGATTGGGGTAAGTGGTTTTTATGGCTGGGTGCTTTTTCTTGGTCCTGGTAAATTATGTACAAATAACAATTTTTCAACAGGAAACAGTATGTACAACGGAGGTCCTAAATATTTTGCAAATCAAAGTTAACAAAAATGCGTATTTAAGTTTTTCAATAAATAATTTATTGTGAAATCCAATAGATTGTAATAATATATAGGAATATGTAAAGTTGTTGTGTTGTGTAGTTAGTATTTGAAATCTTTACTGCAGCCTCTCTAACGAAGGCCTGGGATAGTAGCCAATTCCCTCTCCTAAATCCGGTTCCGGGTTAGCTTGTTATACTTATTAATCATAATACACCTCTAAGATTGAATTTCTTTACCAGATTGGAATGGCCTGTGAGAACATTATCGTTCAGTTTTGACGGAAGATTGTTAGCTTCAGCGAGTGAGGACCACATCATTGATATTGGAGATACAGAAACAGGTACCTACTACATTAAAAATTTTGTACTTGAAAGCAAGATGTACAGGGATCTTTTGTTTAACTCCCGAGATTAGAAATCTCACGATAATAACATTGATCACTGCAATAAAAAATTAAAATAGGATACAAAGCTAAACTTTGTTTACCCTCCATTACTAATCTTGTAATCATCAATATTTAATAACATAAATTTTTAACAGGTGAAAAAGTGGCTGAAATACCTGTGCAGGCGGCTACGTTCACAGTGGCTTGGCATCCATCGCGGTACTTGATAGCGTTCGCCTGCGAAGACAAAGAGCCCCCGGAACGAAAGCGCGACGCTGGCAACCTCAAACTCTGGGGCCTCAGTAGTAGCTAGCCTCAACTGTCGACAAGTTTCGAACGATAAAAAATAACGATAGTAGACTGGTAATTTTATTCTCTAATGCAAAGTGTGGTCTTGTTTATTAGATTTTTTGAAACGTCATATCTATACTAATATTATAAAGCTGAAGAGTTTGTTTGAACGCGCTAATCTCGGGAACTACTGACTCGAATTGGTTCATTATTTTTGCGTTGGTTGGAGCGTTTAGGAAAGGGTATAAAACGTCGATCAACACATCGTAACACTGCAAATCAATTGGGGCGAAGATACCGCGGGTAATGTGGATAATTATGTTTAAGGGACTCGATTGTGTGCGCTGAAACTCAAACTTATGTTTGAAAGAGTGATTCTTCTTTAAATGATCTTAAAAAATGTCCCCGACAGTATGTCTATAAGATTAACTCGAACGGCGGGACGCGGACAACTTCGTGAGTAACGACGAATGGGAGTAACTAACTTTGCACATAACTTACATGTAAAAAATAATATTTTTTAACAGCAAAAACCTTGTGAGTCCCGTCTTCAATAATTTCTGAACCCTCAGTGGATAGCATAGGACATTGTTTTTAACGTATTAAGTAAAAAGCAAGTAAATAAATCATATGAAAACGATAACGTTGTGGTCTTAAGGTCGAGTTTCGCCAAAGCAAAGCTTAGATTTTAGCCTTAAACACCTGCAGACTTGTAAATATTTTTCTAATAAAACAACTTATAAAACATTAAAATATTTATTAATATCACATTTCTTAACTTAAATTGTTCCAGTAGTTATATTCTACTACCAGGTCTCCGTTTGGAATCTCCCAGTATTTATCATACTTTGCATAAAACCATCCGCATTGTCAACGCTTTTCAGGACGTCTTCGACGAACGTGTCCCTTACGTTCTTGGGCATATTTTTCGAGTTGCCAGATATAAATACGTACGCCCCTTGATTGATGATTAGGTTGTGTAGTTGCTCTCTATTTTCTGCTATTTTGTGTTGGACATATCTGTAACAATAATAGAATTTTGTTGGTCTGTGGAATTTCAAAACAGATCGACCAATATTTTTTACGGACTTTTTGTACGGTCTATAGTATGACGCGGTCCCCTTTTTATATTGAAAAAAAAAAAAATCTAAACACATACAAAAAGTTTTCATAACTAGGATTAGACCCAGACTGGAAATTATATTAACTGACTGTAGAACTTGAGTAGTACACATTTAAATAAAATATTTAAACGGTTTAAAACGCGAAATACACTCCTTCCGCCACCCCGTGACCACGACTGCTGAAAAGCATCCGAAACGTCGGGCCTAATCAAATTAATTTATAGGCAAATAGATCATATCTACTTGGGCAAAGCTTAATTATGCAACTCTCAACAATTGAACCCAGAGAAAACATCACAGAAATATTGTTGTTCTAATACAATAGTACCATTTTTACTAACATCTTATTCTCTTGGTCCCTAGAAAAGGCGCAATACAACGTCACGTTTCTATCTCTCTCCCACGCCTCCAACTCGTCGCGACAGTGGTAGTCTCCGTCTCTGTACCGGCATCCGAAGAAGAGGTGTAAAATATGTTTGTCAGCTATATTGAGAGCTACCCTCTCTTGTATGAGATTTCGGAAGGGCGCTAAACCGGTGCCCGGACCGACTAGGATTAATGGAATATTCTGGAACAAACAAGTTTTACTTTCCACCTCACTTCACAACACAATGATCCTTAAGTACTCTATGTAGTTAAAACACTTTAACGGTTTAAAACGCGAAATATATTAGTAAACTTAATTGAAATTGTGTCTCCCGCGACCACGCTGCCGCAAATGATCTGAAACCTCGGGGCCGTAGTTAAAATAATTTTCTAATTTGTTTAACTAATATATTTCTCGTTTCGAACCGTCTAAGCGTTTCATTCAAACAATGGTCCTTCACATTTCTGTATACCGACAAACGATGGAATTTTTTAAATTACGAAAGCATACTCACAGCAGCAGGAAATCTAAATACTCCTTTCTTTATCCAACCATACACTTTGTCCCCAATGTTTAGACTTTTCAGCCAATTGGACCCCAAGCCCAATCGGTGTTTCTTTATTTTCGTTTGATATTTCACTACAGCAACTAATAACTCGATGTTTCTTCCTGAAAAGGAGATAAAATTGAATTTTACAAGACTTAGGACTCTTCGTAAGAAAATAAATGTCTAAATACAAAACAAACCTTGTGAAGGCAAACAGCTACTGGCGATAGAGAAGGACCGAGGTTTGATTGTGGAAAACAATTCAAATAACACCTCAATGGTCAATTTTGAAGCCGATTTGTGAAAATCGTGTAAAACCTGTTGAACCAAAGAAAACATTAGGAAAGAGATGGTGGTGGACAAGAACTCTAGATTTTATACTAAGGAACTTGTACTTGAAATTTTTGTTGCTCAGTTATATCAAGGAAGGCTTTAGGCTATATAAAATCAAGCTGCGACCAAAAGGAACGAAGAAACAGGAAAATGTGAAAAAAAAACGCTTCTTTTCATCTTACAGTTATTTAACAGTTCAAAATATCCAAAAAAAATTACGATATGTTTTTTTTTAATAATGATCTAAAAAATTAAACCGTTTTTATAGTAATCAAATTTCGTCGATAACCTCCATAAAGCTACAATTTAAAAAATGTATGCCAGGTCAGGTATATTTATATATTTAATAGAAAACATTGTTATATTTAATAGAATTTGCAAGCAATACACTCGGTATACTATAAAGTAATTAAAAATAATTTTATACCTCTAAAATAGTTCGTTTAGGTCGTCTACAATAAGTTAACCATTCCTCCTGGCCCTCTGCAGAGCTGAGCTCCCTACACTTATCTCTTTCTAGCCTATCGTCTGAAATTAGTGCTAGAAGAGAGAAGACGTATTGCGTAGGATACGCCTTTAAATCCCAGTACTGTTCGGCTACCACATACATAGGTAATGGCTGCTTGAGAAATGGTGGTACTGGCATGTCTAAAATAGAAATTAAATAGCTAAAATTATTTGAAGCTATTATTGAAGATTATTTTCCTAAAAACTCGATTGGAAGAGCACATTAAGAGAATTTTAACCTTTTTCATTAATTATATTGCCAACAAAGGTGGACAGCGCTTCTTATTTAGTAATTTGGTTGGAGCATATCACATTCCATTTAATGAACCCCTTGCTTATCTGTCCTCTATTATTGTAGTAAATAAAAAATTATATTGACTTTAAGTGATAAACATATATTGGTTTTCTACATACAAATAAAACACACAAGTATTAGAAAAACATTTATTATTATTATTCCTCCTCCTGCCACCCATCTTCTTCGCTCAGGAAACGTCTCTTAGCTGCTGTGTTCATGTAGGGGCGTAGCGCCCATTCTGTATCAGCTGCATCTAGGGCTTCCAAAGTACCAAGTTTGATTTCATAAAGCTTCATTTGAAATCGTGGTCCTACTTCAGAGAGTTCTATTTCCTTGCCAGCCTGTAACAAATATTGCGTCGATATATGATGATAATAAGTGTTCACTACTTTCAAAAACTTATTTCTTTAAAGTTCAATAAAAATACAAAATAAATATCTGTTTAAAAAACTAACCTTTTTATACGTATGTTGTCTAAAGCAGACGTAATCATCATTATTTGCAAATGTAATGACTCGCTTTGAGTCAGGTTTCGGTACAGGAAACAGGTACTTTAGGATACTCATTGTCCTTTTACCTGAAAATGTTTTAGAAAATTAATTTTCATTGCATTACAAAATTTGAACACTATTTGAGGCAAAAAAAAATGATAATCAAGTATAATCATAAAAACTACATTATATTAAAAACTTACCTAGATCAGTTTTAAAATTGTGGAAGATCAAGTGAGGATACTGTTCACTCATCGGGCCAATGTCAGGGATATCATGTCTCATCACCACTCCTGATAATGTAAAAGATGCTGTGGGCCCATATGGAAGGTGGCATATTACCTGCAAGAAATACAGGAATAATAGAAGGAGGTAATTATGGAGCTTTATTTTAAAATGCCTTGTCAGAGGAAATTTTTTTTGGAAGAGTATAAAACAATCTTAGTGTAACACTCACCAAGCTATCTGGCACACCTCTGTGTTCATGAACAACAATAAAATCTGTTACATCATTAGCTCTGCATGCGTGGATTAACTGTGACATTTCATAACCACCACGATTCATTCTTTGACTGTTCGGGAATATCAACCTAAAAATAAAGATAACATTAAAGCAACATAAGGTAATAAATTAACCTTGTAGTAAAAATTACTCTAAATAATTTGATTAAAATAGTGCTTGAGTGATGTAAATTACAAATATAACTAACCTTAGCTCTTTCACAAACATCTTTAACCTAGCACTAGGTTCTCTTGATGTGGTTATCATAATCTTTGGATCCTCAACACCTGCATACCTATATTCATCATCTTGGGAATTTAAGGTGTTGGCTCCACCACTGAATCCACCTATAACAGCAGCTCGCTCCGGCCCTAAACATGAAAAATAATGAATAAAATTTGTAAATTTTAGGTTAGGTTAGGAAATGAGATTTTAGTACGTTGATTTAACTTACCCTTATCATCGAATTCAAGCCTTTTCTGCAAAGCTAAAGCTTCTTTTCTCAAGTCGCCGTGGATTGGAATGTTTTCTTCTAAACATTTCTTTAATTGGTCTTTTTTAGCTTGAATACTTTTTTGTTTATCTTCAGCGGACTTTCTGTATAGATACTCGCGACGCAAACGCGCCTGTCTTCTCAACATATTGAAATACTTTATGCACTTATTAACCTAATACTTTTTTCAATTATATCGTAAATATTTTTAATAATGTGTATCAAAATCAACATAAACACATGTTGACTTTGCGCACAACTCGTTTGGCAACTGACATTTATAGATCCGACACGTTTGACATTTGACATAAAATCGTTGTCACAGAGTCTTTTAATATTTCCCTATAAGTATAAAAACTGCAGACACCGTAATTGAGTTCAAAGTTCAACCGATAATTATTCGCTACCTAAACATGACTTTTAAGTTATTCGTTCAAGGAATAGCTTTCTGGCCATTAAAAGTTTCTATTCAATCACAATGATTTCGTTTTTCTTCTTCCAAAATAAAAACAAATTCTTACCTTCATGGTATTCCTCTACATTCAACATATAATGAGGTTTTATATCAATGTTATGAGTTTCAAATATACTGAAAAGGTCATCTATGTCATCTTTGCTATTACGAGGTCTGATATTGAATACATCTCCAGGGCAATAGTTCATTTTTTCATCTTGCACTGTCTTGAAAGATATTAATCTCACATCCTAAAATAATATTTTGTTATTTAAGACTTATTGTAATCTTCAAATCTTACAACAGTAAATCTAAGTACAGTTCTTTAAGTAGAATAAATTTAATACTTACTTGAAAGTGTGTTTCATGGGTTGTCCTTTGATTACTGTCTACTTCTAAGTAGATGGGGTTAACGAAATGGTCAGTGTTGCTATTTCCAAAATACATGTCTTTATTTAACCCATTTTCGCAAGTCTCAATATCATTTTTAAAAAGTGATGTCCTCCACCGAGGAATAAATTTTGTAGCTCCAATATCTGAGTCTATATCTTGCATTGGTTTTAGTTTCCCATAGAATGATTGAAGCCACGGTATCATCACAGCATCATGTCCTAAGTCATGTTGATAATCGCAGAGAGCTGAAAATGAAAAACGATGTCATTATGAGGAGAAAAAATATGTGGCGATACAATATGTTCAATAATAAACAACAGTGTTTGAGATTAATGTAGATTTAAAAGCTTAACATATCATTGGTTGTTGGGCTATTTATATTTATTATATTATTTGTAACACAAAATTATCAATACATAACAGACACTCTGGATTTAGACATAATGTGATAAGTTAAACCCTTTTATGACTTAAATTTATATGTCATCTATAACATGTTTATCAAACAACTTGGAACACACCATCTATAAAGATAAGTAAAATGTGAATTAGATGTTTGATAACAGTTCATGATTTGTGTAATAGATAGAGTATTATGACACTCAAAATTATTTTTGGCATTTCCTTTACATAATGCTACTAAGTAGTCTCTGATATTATGGAACTTTTAATGCAACAAATTACACATATAGATTAAAGTTTTTTTTTACAAATTTATAACAATAGTGTGCTATCATATTCTAAATATCAGACATGTTCTTATAAGAACTATTTTAAGAAGAATAATCCACTCATTCACTGTAATTACTGATTACTTTTTCTTTGTAAACAATGCATGTTAATTATTAACTAAACCATAAACCCTCAATTTCTGAGTTATTTCTGAAGAGTTTAAAAAGTTGTTTGAAAAAAACGTAAAACTAATAAAAGTTGGATTAATTAGACATTAAAAATTGATTTGCAATTATGACATTATAATTTGTGAATGTTTTGAATAAAATTGGGAATAATTAGGAGCACAATTTTAAATGTTAAATACTGTCTATAGTTGACGCGAGTGGTACACATTTACATAAAACACTTTAACGGTTTAAAATGCGATATATTTGTTAAACATTTGAAAATGATTTTTAACTTCGGCCCGACGTTTCGGATGCTTTGCAGCAGCCGTGGTCACGGGGAGACCCGTGACCGCGGCTGTTTTATTTAAATAGGTAAATGTTTTTACATATTATTTTTAGATTAAATGCCAAATATAATAGATAAATACCTGTATCTAATAATGGTTGGGCACCTAACTGTATCAATCTCTTATGCAGCTTTTTAGCAGCAAAATTAAACTTGTCATATGACGAATCTCCCAATCCTATAACTCCGAACTTCAGATTCACCAACGAGTTGGTAGGGAGACTTTTTCGTAATAAAAACTTCCAGAATGACTTCATATTGTCCGGCTCATCGCCCTCCCCGGTGGTGGCACAGACAAACAGCGCATATTCTTCGTGAATGAGCCTCGATATAGGGTAATCGTCCATGGCCATCACAGGACCCTTAAGACCCAAGATCTTTGTTGTTCTCCATATTCTTTCAGCAATTTCTTGTGAAGTATACGTCTGACTGCCATATAAAATAATTATTCTAGTCGCCATCTCCATACCACTTACAATTCGACACAATTTACAGTATTTTAACCACTCCAAATCTTGACTGCTCAGCGCTTTCGAGTGTAAAGAAATAAGCAACGCTGGAGGAGTGGATAATGCAAATTGCTGAATAGTTCAAAAGTGTGTCACAAATAAACACTGCAATGGCCTTGAAATGTCAATGCGACAATTGACATTTTCCTGACGTTAGCAGTTCATAGTAAATAAGAGATTAAATAGTAAGACAAATGTCATTATCGTTTGTAAAGTTTTTTTCAAAACCCTCGCGGGAATATAAATTATTCTGATTACTAATAATGCAGCTTAATAAAAAGGAAGTGGATTATTGTACGTAATTTGTCTTAACAAAGTGTCCATTTAAATTTAACAAGAAATAATCTAAGTAAGAGTCATAAAATATACTCAAGTTTTAAAATGATACCGATGATATTTTTTAAAATTAATAAAAAACTTTTGTAATTGAGATTTTACCAAACAATATTAAATACGGGTAATAGAATACTTCCCAAAATGTCGTTCGGACACATCTAACCATCCGTGACTTATTTGTGAAGCGGGGGAGTCTTAACGTATTTTAAAATAGCCCCTACTACAATACAATGACTAAAAATCTCTGACGTCAGCCACCCTTTCATCCCCCATGTGCGAATCTCGTTCAATACCTATCTATATCTCTATTACTCGCATATTCAACTCGATGTTCCCTCTCACTTTGATATGGCGCACGGCAGTCTCGCGATTCGTGCTGGTGGGGTAAGTCGCTCCACGCGAAAAAGGCGCGAAAAATCAGTGTAGTGCCTAGACAAATTATTAATTGATTCAAAATGTAAGTAATTGAACCAATTCACAATATTTAGTAGTAATTAATGGATTTATAAGTAAATTATCGCTGGCCTTTTACATTTTTTCAATGAACATCTTAAGAAAGGTTATCACTTAATTATCATTCCGCATAAGCTTCTGTAATTTAATGATTTGCGTTATATATAAATAATTAATATTATTATTGATTGGCCATAATGGAAAACTGGATACTATTTCTATCAGCATTAAATGCAAAAATAAGTTTAAAGTTTTGTAACTAGCGAGATAATTTTAAAACGAATGCTTGGGTAACTGATCAAATCGTTCACTTATAAAAAGATTTGGTTAGAAATATAAAGTTAAATGTCGTAGGTGTGATTCCAATAGTTCCACCGCTGTATGATGATACACCAAACTCTACGTTGTAGAGAATGTAATTTATCGTAAAACTGATCGTTTGAGTTTATCATTCACTATCCAAAGGACATCCTAGGCTTAATACGATTTCCTACAATAATAGGTTAATAAAAAGGCATTTATGATTATTAAGGAATATTATTATTTCAATGATTTACTTTTGTGGGTCTTCTTGACAATTTGAAATTTCTTTTATTTTTATATATACAAAAAACCTGAGGCTTTTTACCATCATCAAACCGCATTAAGAATTCCTCATAAGTTAGCAAACTTGTAATAGTGTATATAAGAAACCTATTTCTTTGCCACATAACTCTATAGGCTATTCCATTCAGTTTTTATTACATTGGTGGATGTTATAGTCTAAGCAATTTTTAAAAAAATATTTAATGGCCTGGTAACAGTCTGAACAAATATTTATACATAGACTTATATCTAAATAGATAGAATAATTGAATATATATACGGGTGTACAAAATATATTTGCATAATCTATCCGTGTGAGGACTTTATGTGCAAGCAGGGCGATGCTACGAAAAGCGTAGCGCTGTAGCCAAGTGTTGCACAATATACTACGCTTTCTTAATAATAGAGAAATAGAAAAATGACTTAACACTAGCTTAGATTATAATATTATTTAGATTCTTCTAGAATTATTGAATAAGGTTTAAAATCCCAATATCGGCAACGAGTCGTTATATTCCATAAATGTTTTTATTATAATTTGTAATTTAATTTCTCTGAAAAGATTAAAAAACATGATGACATTAAAGAAAATGTATATCGTGGCTTCAAAGCTATACTGAAGGGCCCAACTCCCAATAGTGGGAACAAAGGCTTATGACGATGTCTTCGATGTCATCATGCAATACAGCAATTATATCTCTAAATAGTTTCTGTAAAAATAACTTCTAAATCCCACCCACGTGGTATCGATCTATCTGACCTCAACTTACCCCGCTCTCCACAGCCCCTGTCAGCTTCTACACGTGCCGAAATGTCTTTTACCTTTGACCTCGCCGGTTCCCAGTATCACAATTGTTTTTATTGTCATCTTACTACAATTTTGTAAGTGGTTTAAGGTATTGTTTGTTTAAAAGTAGGTTTGTTTTTTGATTTTCAAAATGGTGGCTTATATTTGTAAATTCATATTGTTCGGAACAGATTTCGAAGAAACTTATAACAAGTTTTTTCTTACTATTACAAACACTAGCATGGTTATGTGTCATGACGTTGCTCCCCCCTGAGCTGGCCAGGCGGGTAAGTGGACCACTAATTCAACATATTGATGTTTAAGTGTACAGTTAAGAATGAATATTTTGAAGTACAGTACCTGTCGGTACATTGAAAACATGCATAACTTTACTTGTATCTATTGTTATCGAAATTAAATTAAAAGTTCTTGACTTGACCACGGCTATGTGACCCCCTCCTGACGCCAAAGCTGGATCAGCCTATGATTACAACAATTATTATGTTATTGTTACAATCTTATCAAATTCGGTCAAAATATATTTGTAACATGAAACAAAAGCAGAGCGAGACGAGCCCCTACAGAACGTGGGTTTGGTATTTCGCTGATGCAGCGTCACTTTAAGATTGCGTCACACCAATAACGCAACAATTTTCAAGATTACAATAAAGTTATAATATTAGTTTCCTAAATTCTTTCAGCACTATGGAATAGAATACGCAAAAAAACAATCAAATATTTAATTACATTTGATATCGCACTTGGATATTTACCATAATAATTAAATACGTCACAAAATTTCGAATCGATACACTTTTAATACGCCAATTTTCTGGTTGTTATCTTATATTTTACATTTAAACGAAATTAAAGTTGTATTATCCAACTTGAATATTTAAATATTTAATTTTAAACGTCGGTTAATGTTAATAGTTTGTACCAACTATTTCTTTATTCTCATGGCAGCTATGTATCGCTTAAAATCGCGCGTTCGAACCTTACAAGGTCACATGCTTTTAAATTTCTTTTCTGAAGTGATCAATTTCATCTGGAAACCAGGATACAAAATTGGTATTAGGAATCTCCAAATTCCGTCCGGGTCAAGATCCAGCGTCCACAGACGGAAAAACCGTGAAGTTTCCTTGCATTTCAGTTTCATTCTTAGGATTTTTTAATATCTAAAGCCAAAATAAGTCGACAGCTTATCTTCTTAAGTTGTTATATGGCTGGGGTGTTTCGTCTTCCATCTAGTAAACCACATGCTTGTTTGTTCTCGTCATTTTACTATAGCATGATTACATAGCAACCTTTTCGCCCCCACCTCCGTACTTCAATGGCTAATGTATTTCTTAACACGTGGTCCTCGGTACGAGCACTGGGGAAACGATAAATTGCATAAAAGTCTGTTCAATAACATGCTCGATATCCGATCAACGAACGGACACATAAGTGTGGTATAAACTATAGAAATAGCACTACGGCCTCTAATATAATCAAAATTGTCACCACAATCAGAAATCACAGCGTGTAAACATGAGTAAGGCCGGCAAGAGCGTGCACTAATGATAAGCAAACGATAATAATGATAGTTTGACCCGCGTCGCAGATGTTTTTAGAAATATCTAGTTCTCTTACTATCACTATGCAGAAACAACATAGAATATATAACAATTGCGTCCATACACAATATAATTACACGAAAATATATGGCCAACTGCGAAGTCGGATATTCGCGCGAGGTCCCCTACGATTGAATAGGTACACAAATTTGATATTGACTTTTTTTAGTTATTATAATGCTGCCTGTTACCAATCTATACTAATATTGTATAGTTGAAGAGTTTGTTTGTTTGATAGCACTAATCTCAGGAACTACTGATTCAAATTGTTTTTTTGTGTTGGATAGAGCATTTATCGAGGAAGTCTTGAGGCTAAGAAACCGTAAAAATCATTCATCTCAAAGAGCGTTTAATAAAAGTAAATTTGGTAGTTTTATTGTGAAATAGTAACTAAAATTTACAACATATGTATTCAAAGGAAAGTGATAACAGCAGCGTATAATAATTTCCGTAGTTTATAATTTTTGAGTATAACTGTAAGTAACGAGTTGTTCATTTTCCCACCGTCTGTACCGGGACCGCATACCAGGAAGTGTGTCGACCCATCAACTGCCAAAAAAGCGGGTGATTTTGACTGATGTAACTCATAAAACCTGTTGGGGAGGCCACGGCTTGTATTACATAAATATTTTAGTTAACTTGTATAATCGCTTATATGCAATGCGATATATTAATAAAAAGATTTGAAGATAAAAATATAATTTTAAATTGATTAATGTTTGTTAAACTGTGAAATTCTCTTCCCCAAACGTGGGACTTTTTTTGTGTGTGTTTTAGTTCCTCCACCTCAAATGTATAAATACTGAAACACGGCATAATATATATTATATTTACGACGAACCTACGTACATAAATTACCTTATCAAAAATTGTGTAGCTTTTTGGTTATTGTGTAAATGCGAAGCTAATCTTGAAATAAACAATATTACAGATTTTGAATTTTATCTTGGACTAGCTTGTGCCCTCGACTTGATTTACGTGGACGTAGGTTACACGCAATTTTTTTAACTTCATCTAAAGGGAAATTATTTTTTCAATTTGAACCAAGGCTGGTTCCTGAGATTATCGTATTCAATCAAACAAACAAAACTTTTCTGCTTTATACATTTCGTATAGACAACGTTACTAATATTGTGGCTTTGAATCACAGTCTCAATTTTGGATACAAGTAGAGCCTCTTAGAGCCTCTAGATTAGGCCCACCATACCCTTGATGGTGTCCTTTACAACTACTACCGCTACTAAATTAGTGATAAAAGCCTCGAACCTACCTTTCCGGACTGTCTGGATTCGACATTTTCTAAAAAAAATAATAATAGAAATAAATACCCAAATATTACTCGCCTTAGCCGGGATTGTATAGCTTTTTGGTCCGCAATCCAGGGCACTAAACATTAGACCAATTAACTTAGTATAAAATATAAACAATAACAGTACACAATAATAAAGGTATATTTCGTTGGCTTTAGTTATATTGACCTAGCCGTTAGCTATCAAAGCACTTAGAATTGACCTGACTAGACAAGCACTAAGCAAAAGTGAAAAACTCCTTCAAATAACTTTCGTTGCGTCATGAGGGCGAATGACGCAATATCCAAGGGTATTGTGTGAAAGTTCTTTTATGCTTAAGCCCAGGGGAACTGTTCGTACTTATATTATTGGTCCAAACATAAAATAATTATTAATATTGGTAACGAACAATTACGCACCTATATCAAAATAAAATAGGCGCCATTTCAACATAAAACATTCGAATGCTTCGAAACGCGATATCTATTAGTTAATGTTATTCGAAAATGATTTTAACTACGGCTCGACGTTTTCCGTGATCACAGTTGCTGCAAAAGCATCCGAAATGTTAGGCCATAGTTCAAATAATTTTCAAAGAAGTTCAACTAATATATGTCAATGTTAAAGTGTTTTATTTCAATGTGTACTATTGCCGCCATTTTTAATTTTAATTTACCATTAATTTTCATGCTTTAAGATTCTAACAAGAATCGCGTAGAATATATTTCATACAATTACTGTGGGCCAGGCGTGCGTCCTTGTGTGACCCCATTTCGTTTCAAAGGCCCGTTTGAATGCATTCCTTTTTAACTAAATAAAGTCTGGGAATGACTCTATTATACTCCTCTCAGGCTTATATTTGTCATACAATAGGTCTGAGTTATCACAGCTGGGTAACTGGTTTGACTGCGAACCAATATGGAACCAATATTGAGGATAATGAAATATTATTCTTTATTATTCCACGTTATTTATTAAGATTTTATTTTTAAAGAGCTCTGAAAATAAATAAAATAAAGAAGGGGGACTTTTTAATACCTAACTTAACCTAATACAATAATATTAAAATAACAAAGTCTATCTTGAGATTAGTGCTTATATTTACTTATTTCGAAAGTTCAATCAATTCAAATTATTAAATATATTTATGTATGTAGCCACACGAAAATTTGGGATACTTTTTCAAAATCTTTACATGACATGGACATTATTTTTATACATGTGTCTTTAAAAATACTTTACAATAATTAATCAACTCTCTGGTAAAACTGAATAATATATCGTCAACCTATAATTTATTCTAATTGATTTGAAATGATTAAGGTAAGAAATGAGAACTGCGAGTACCCTATTTTACCGAATTTGCTCTTTGATTCAAACTAAATAAGATTCTTAGTGAAACACGCTCAGTTTTCTTCTTCTCAGAACTCAGCCACAAGAAATGTAGATAATATCGTAGATGCATCGTAGCACTTCGCTACGAACCGTTAAGTCACTTCCGATAGACGTGTGGTTTCCAAACAATTTTATTCCAACTTTCCAAGCTTTACCTTCCCCCCCCCTTCCACGAAGAAGAATATTTATCGCTCCTGTACACCTACAACACAACGGGTGCTCACTTTGGGAATCAGTTGCATTATCTTTTATTTAACTTACATTTTTTTTTCCGTGAACGAATAATAAAACCATGTATCTGATAATGAATTTTATTATATACTAGCTGGGCCAGCGACTTCGTCCGCTATGAATATTTATCTTGGGCATCCAAATTCGTTTTTGCAATTCCTTCCTTATAAACTTAAACTGTTACCCAAGCGTCTGTTGCGTCCCTTTCCGTCGGTCTTGCAAGTTAATCTTAAAAGATAGACATACAGCGTTGCAGACTTTTTTTAGATCATTTAAAGAAGAATTATTCTCTAATACATATTTTTTGGGTATCTAGAACAGCAATTGCAGCGTACGCCTCGGAAGCCCATAATGATGAATAATTTTCCCAAAATTTTTCACATTTCCCGCTGTATCTTCGCTTGTATTAGCCACAATGCGATGTTTTATAGCCTATAGGCTTCCTCGATAAATGTTCTAACCAATACAAAAAATATTTTTCGATTCGAACTCGTAGTTTCTAAGATTAGCGCGTTCAAACAAACAAACTCTTTAGTTTTATATATTACTGACTATAGATAGAGTACAGAATAATATTTCTTAATATTACACAAAAAGCTTAATGTTATGAAATAATTTTCAAAGCATCCGAAACGTCGGGCCGAAGTTAAAAATAAGTTTAACTAATATATCGCGTTTTAAACCGTTAAAGTGTTTTATTTAAATGTGTACTACTCGCGTAAACTATAGACGGTATTAAACTTTTTTGTCACGGTTTTTCTTGGTTTCAAACTCAGTGTCTTTTTGGAGAAATGGTTGCGAACTCTTCAAGTCCGACTCACACTTGACCAGTCCTCACTTAATCTATCACGGATTTATTTGCTTATCAACTCATGAATAAAATAAATATAAATTGTCCCAGGTCTCCGAAGAATGCAAACTGTGAAGATGAAAATGACAAGGAAGCTCTTAAGTCAGAAGCTGAGGAGGAGAAAGGAGGCCTCGAAGCGAAGATGTCCCTCCTCAACGGCATAACAGTGATAGTTGGTTCGATTATCGGCAGCGGCATTTTCGTCTCGCCGACCGGCGTTTTGAAGTACACGGGAAGTGTGAACGCTAGTCTTCTAGTCTGGATCATATCAGGGGTGTTTAGTATGGTAAGTTTTATTTTTTATTTCTTTCATAGGTATATGTGACAAGCATGGTATTATTTTGTCGTTCCCATTTTGACTGTGCACATTGAGGAATCCGCAGACTGTGAATGAAATGTGGATTTAAATTTTTATGTTCAGGTTTTCCAGTCTGCCGGTTTCATTTATTTTTAATAAATTTTATGAACATGTCAAACCCGGTGAGAATTGAACCTAAAACCGCTGTGAGCACGCCATGTTGTGATAGTTGGGTCGGTGACTTCAATCTTCGCTTGTGTGACGTCATTATTGCTTAAATAGTGCATATTGATGAGGTCTCTTAAAATAAGAAGGTATAAATTTGCTTCGTTAGCAAAGAATTTCGTAAGATGCGGTAACGACTAAATTGACGCGAATATATTAGTAGATCAAGGTTATAGCCACGTGTCCGCACGACAGCCTTGGCACAGCTGACAAGTTTGACGTGTTTTTCGTAAACTATGCCCTTTGACCTATATACCTATATATTATTATTTCTCAAATGGGACATGGAGATATCCAAAACCGTAGATGATACTGATAGCGATGTTGACATAGGGATACTGCCCTACTTATGTCAGAGAGGGACAGTCAAGCCTGGCGTTTACTTTATGGTAGGTGTAAAACCCTATCCATATGACATCTTTGGATATTCGGAAAGAAAAGTAAAACATATTTTTTTCGTTTAGGTCAAGTATTATACATTTCACCTGATCTCATTCAAACATACAAACACAATTGTCTATGTTTTACAGCATTGTTCATCACGTTTTCTAGGTATTATTATAAACATTCCGAAGAGACTTAACGGTAGACGAAGTTTTTATGAATACCATTAATTGTATATTTATTGTGTCTAATCAGGAAGTGAATAAAATTGGCTCTTTGACATTTATAAAAAATGTCTAGATTTTATCTGAATACTTAAATAGGTAAATACAAATTACAATTAATATTATATCACTTTAATTGGAAACTATTGTCAATATCAAAATAAAGAAATTGATTGGTTTTAATACGTGCGTATGGCGGGAAAACATATTATTTTAATAATATAGTTTCTACTAAACACGTAAAACTTAAAATATAGGGCTGTTGACGATTTTAAAAAAAGTATTTTTTATTGTTTTACCCTCAATATTAAAAATATATTTTGCAAACCTTTACACAGCCCCAAAATTATATTTTTAATATGCCCGGAAACATTGTTTTACCGTATCGTCACGGCTTCTTTCGACTAGACTCTATATTGCTCTATTAAACTTGCATTAAAATTATATTTTTGTTTTCTAACGTTAATATCTGTATTATTTTATTTATTAAAACCCTGCTTCGACCGTCTAGAGCACCAAATTTGGTTGAGATAAAATACATATTTCGCTTTTAGCCATTTCGAAATAGCCTTGACAAAATTTTGCAACACCTTATATATTTGAAATTCCCCTATCCCTTATGGGGTTATGTAACACATTTTTGTGTCCGTTTCGCTATTTAATTTTGTTTATCGGCAAGTAGGTGATAAAACTAGTGTGCCCTGCTCCGTCGGGATTCAAACCTTTATCGCATTGCTACGTTTACCATTAGGCTACAGAGTACAGAGGATGTTGACACTCATATAGTTAGGTCGATCTTTCCCATGATCAGAATCTAATCCGATTCGCAGATCTGGGTCGAAATTAAAATACTCGCGAATAATTAACTTTCCAATCGAATGATAATGACCCAGTTGTGATGGCGTAAATGCCTGTTAGCTTGATATTGTAACGTTTGAGGCCTAGTTCACGGACTTGAAATTCATTCAATTATTTAGTGTAACATCGTGTAACGTATTTTATATATAGTATAGTAACAATTTATAAATTTAAAAACGATTTAGGTTTTAAAAAAATTACGACACTGGCCGGATTTGAACCGGTATCCACAGCGTGCTGCTAGTCTAACTAAATACTGTCTATAGTTTACGCGAGTAGTACACAGTAGTAGTTAAATAAAACGTTTTTAACGGTTTAAATCGCGAAATTTATTATTTAAACTTATTTCAAAATTATTTTAACTACGGCCCGTTGGTGTAATTTAAATGCCTACTACTAGTGTAAACTAGAAACTGTTAATTATAATTTAAACAAAGTTTAATTTACTCTTGAAAATTTATTTTAATTTTTTACTTAGTAATTTGCCGCAACTGTAATGTAAAATGTATTTCGTCTACATGAAAAATCGTTTACAATTTTCTTGTTCTCCAAGGAGGTATTTAACCAGCAACGCCAAGTTTTCTTAAGAATCTTTTAACAAGACCTCGAGGGAAATCGGGTTTGATGATGCCGTTCTTAATAAAGGGATACTTAGACAAACTGAAACATTTGAACAAGATTAATTAAATACTTACACCGTTTATAAAGAGAAATTATACGCTTCTGTTTTTTGTTAGCTTTTTAGTATCAACGGAAAAAAGTGGTTCATTGCCAATCCTACTGCTGGGATTGGTGGCTGGACAATTTGACATACCATACATATACTTAGGTTCTTAAAATTGCTTTCGGGTTAGGAAAAGTAGATTTTTTCAATTAAATTGCGCCTTTTCCCTCGTTGTTACGACTTAGAAGTAATTTAGACATTTCTTAACATTAAAAATATTTAATTTTCATATCGAGTTACGTGAGCTTAATAATAGCAATGTACCTGTGGAAATAATCGAGTTGTGTGTTCAAACTTCAAATCCCACCGGGTTCAAACAGTTCTTAAATAATATTTAAAGGTAGTGTGATATTCATTTTTTTTTAATTTCAAAAGGTATGTCTCTGGGTCTGTCTCGTTGACGCTTGTCAAAAATGTAAATGTCACACATATATGTTCGCGCGTTCATTTAAAAGAACGAATTACGAAATATCCAAATACGAGTGAAAACTTGTTTTATTAAATAAATACATTCTTTTAAATAGCGTGATTTTTCTTAATACCAATAACAAAATTAAAATACCAATAATAATTCATACTATCACACCTTGTCATTCCTTATTGAACACATCACATTGGCAGAATCCATTTACAATGGGAAAGACATCAAATTGAGAGGAGAAGAATTACGAAATAGAGTTTCCGAAAGTCTCTTCTTCATTTTTTACTTAAAAAAAAATAACCTACAAAAAACCTAAAGTGTAGTCGCGTTTCGCTTACAGGAGATTTCTGACTGTAAAACCAAAATACATAGACAGCGCATCTTATATGTTATGTGGCCATGGTTCTCCTAGAAGGGAACCTCATTTCTGTCATCCTCTGACACAGAAAAGTGAATAATATTTTATTTTCTATACAGGTGGGAGCGTACTGCTATGCTGAACTCGGTACGATGATTCGTCTCAGCGGCGCTGACTACGCGTATATAATGACGACATTTGGACCGTTTGCAGCCTTCATCCGGCTGTGGATCGAGTGCATGATCGTCAGACCTTGTTCTCAGGTAATTTGGCAACTAGTTTTCATTATTTATTGAAGTTAAAGTTATCTAAATACCCTTAAAATATCAAAGAGCTGTTACAATTGACACGTCTATCTTAAGTCTTGTCAGTAATAGTAAGTTAAGCCTGAAATCAAAACAAATGGACAATGTGATATGTCCCCACGGTCCTACCTTAACGTATTTAGTTTTTGAGGGAATCCCCGAAGTTCGTTTCGTCTTCAGATACCGACATTAGAGTAGCAGTACTAACCATACTCCTATATCATCCTAAATGTCATCATAATACTTAAACGGAAACTGTGTAGATGACTCTGCGTAGCACATATTAAATTATTTTAAATAAAACACGTTTAACGGTTTAAAGCGTGAAATGTGTTCCCCCGTGGTGCAAAGCCGACTGTTTATTATGCTCCTGTCGTTTATTCAAATTAGATCGAAGCGATCGCGTCTAAGGGATACAAATGGCGCAAAGTAATCCACGCGAACATTATTGTCTTTCTGGAATGTTCATTCTATTAGAGAATAAATCGTTAGGTGTTTTTATAAATACATTGCTTATGCAAAGCGGAGAAAGGGTACCGTAGTGACGCCGTCAAGAGTATGAAAATTTACCACACTCCCCACGTCACACTTGCCCCATTAGGCATTCACAGCATCAGTTACAAAAAAAAGGCAGTCGGTCTCCATTATAGTAATAATGAATCATTGTATTCAACACTGTCTGTAGTTCGCTCAAGTAGTACACATTTAAATAAAACACAAACGGTTTACAACGCGATATATATAAATAATATGTATCGCGTTTTAAATCGTTAAAGTGTTTTATTTGAACTTTATTTGACATTCAAACTAGTACAGTTAAATTATAGTAATCATAGATAGTTAAACTAGAAGAAAAGTGATATCGCAGTTACATCACAGTTTTGCTACAACACTGATTCTCAGCAAAACCTTACGTTCGCCGACTAAAGAGGTAACTTATCAAAGGTTGAATACAAATGTCGAACTGGCTTGCACAAAGAAAGCTGCTTTGTGAAAAAGCAAATACTTTATCGCGTAAAAAAACTATTGTTATTGGTTTTTTATCAACTTCGTGATTGGTTTTTTAGTTCTGAATTGTAGTACTTAGTTTTAATTTCCGCGGATTATTTGAGGAAACTACTATATAAGCCCTGGCCGTAACTAGTAATGTACTTTAGTGTAGTATTTTGTTAATGAAGATAAAGGCGTAAAAAGGAGGGTATATGACAATTATTATTATTTTTGGCATATTATTAATTCTTATCATACTTTATTGATTCAAATCTTAAAGCTATCCACAAATGCCTGTGATATTTCATAATTAATAATTATAATAATGGACTTATTTTGAAGGCGATCGTCGCACTAACGTTCAGCGTGTATGTCCTTAAACCCGTTTTTCCGGAATGTGACCCGCCGAATGAAGCGACCAGGCTTTTGGCAGCATGCTGTATATGTAAGTCTAAAATTTCGAATTATTGTTCAATATATTACCATCGAGAGGACAATATCTAAAATAAGCCATTTTTAAATTTCGCTCTTAATTTGTTAAAATTCAGTTTAGTGAATTATACATGTATTAGTTTTAAAGACTGTGAAATGTGTTTTTATAAGAACTGAATTTAAGATATTTTTTACAAGTCTTGATTAGCGCTATCCATCTTAGTATTTTTAGTGTAAACTGATATTTCGTCTGCCTAGTTTGTTGTCTTTTTATCCATATTAAAAAAAGGTAAACAAAAATCGCTATTCTCAAGTAGTAACTAAACTAAATAAAAAAAAACTATTTTTTTTTATGTTTAACCTGAAATTAATAAAATATAATTAATAGGGGTTGAACATAATTTGAGAATATTCGGTTTTTATAAACAATTGCTGTGATTAATACAACGAAACGTTCCATTACATATTTTGTTAATAGTTAGATAACCTTTTAAAAACCTCAATTGCTACGCCATTTTCACGACTAACTTTGTTTCAGTATTGCTTACGTTCGTGAATTGCTGGTCCGTTCGCGCCGCCACCAGAGTCCAGGATTGGTTCACCTATGCCAAACTTTTGGCGCTCTTCATCATCATCGCAGCTGGAATTTACCAACTTACTCAAGGTATCGTCTTTTGTTTTACGCACTAACGCTTTTAGCCACCGGTGACCTGCGATTGTGACGTACATTTATTTCTTATATCTAATATAATAAATAAAACTAAGAAGATGTAAAAAAAATGATATCTAGGGTGTTATGTGGTAGTGAAGTTTCACATCGGACATGGGGTGGGTATGCCATCGTCTGAAAAAAAATCTGCAATATTTTATGACCAAGAAAGATCAATTACTTAAGTATTTGAACCACGGTTTTCGTGTTTCAGTATATCGTACACCGCAGAGTTATTTCAATGGCAGACAGCGGTCTACCGTAAAACATCCTTACTTTATATAAATTACATATATACGATATGCTAGTGATACGTGAAAAACCGTCTTTAGATGATTGTGTATGTATTTGCTTTTAATTGGTGTCATATAAAGGAATGTGAGTATTGACTGTAGTTTACGCGAGACATTTAAATAAAACACTAATAACGGTTTAAATCGCAAAGACGACTTATTCACAGTTTATTTCACTACTTATACTAATTTATTTCAATACTATCCTTTGCAGCAGTAATAAATTATGTAGGAGTTAAAAAGATATATTTCTCGTATTAAACCGTTAAAAGTGAAATTTTAAATGTTAAATCTTTTTTATAGTTATTATGAATCCGGTAATATGAATAGCAAGGGAAAAATCTCCGTTTCTAAACATGTTAGTTCGTGAAACTTCAATGAGGAAAATATAGTGACAATAAAAAGAGTGAGTGAGTACAGTACAAAGGAAGAAATTGAATTATCTACGAGCGACGGATAACAAGCTCGTCTGCGCTTGACTTTCAATTAGACCTACAATAGAATTTTGTATGGTGCTATATTGGCATTTTATCATAGTAATTAACACGTTTAATGCTGTCTGTAGTTTACGCGAGTAGTGCAGATATAAATAAAACACTGTAACGGTTTAAAAACCGAAATATATTAAACTTATTTGAAAATGATTAAAGTTTCTCCGCGACCACGGCTGCTGCAAAGCATTAAAAACGTCGGGTTTGACTAATATTTATCGCGTTTTAAACAGTTAAAGTGTTTTATTTAAACGTTGAAAGCTATTGGAAATAAAGGATCTCTAATAGATTCTAAATCTAAATCTCTATAATCATGCCCATTTATCGAGGAAGTTTTTAGGCTATACAACTTTAGGCTGCGACCAATAGGAGTGAAAAATAGGGGGACATGCGGAAAAAACGGGAAAAACAGAATCATCAGTTTCTTTCTGTTTGAGGGTCTCCGTTGCGTGCGCCGCGAGAACAGTTCTTGATACCCAAACAGTATTTATAAAGGAATCATTCTTCAAATAACCCAGAAAAGAGATCTGTGACAGTCTATCTCTCTTTTAAGATTAACTCGCAAGAACCGTTTTACGGTAATCAAATTAGGTCGAAATACTTCTTAAGGTAAAAGACCAGGTCAGCTAGTGTCTACTATTAAATGTAAACAACGACAGTAACTTTAATCCAATTCAACATAAATAAAATAAAAGTACCCACATTAATTTGAAGAGATCGTTGCTTACTTTTCTTATCGCTGTCTTAATAAATACGCCGCCAGATTGACGGTGCGCGGTCTTAGTAGGTATTTGTAATCGAATCTCATACACAACAAATGTTTATATTATATAGATTTATCCTAACAATGGCAAATTAAAATAAAACACTAACGGTTTAAAATGCGAAATATGTTAGTTAAACTTATTGAAACTACGGACCGTAGTAACTACAGTAGCCGTTGTCTAGGGGGGTTCTCCCTGTGACCACGGCTGACATTACCGGAAGACGAAAATAATTTGTAAATAAGTTTAACTAATATATTTCGCGTTTAAAACCGTTAAAGCGTTTTATTTAAAGTAAAAAAAAATAAATTTATTAACGTCTCATCAGTTAAAAACTAAATTAACATGCTTATCTATACTAAAATTATTATACACAGATTAAATTAAAATAGAAGCAAAGGCGTGTCTAAAGAATCTTGCGTATGTATGTAGAATCTTCTAGATCTCCGACTCCACTAAACGCCTGACATTGTATGCAAGCATTTCACATGATTTAATAATGTAACCGGAGATGGCCGGACGACGGATCAGGCCAATCATCTAATAAGACTCCGCGCGGTTCTTCCTTTGCCCGCCGACGCTTTCCTATGCGCCTGCCCCCCCTGGCCCACGTGACTCTAATGCCATCTTCAGATCACAAGAGGTCTCTGGTTTGAGTCCCGACAGTGACGTGCACTTTCTTAGGGAATCGTAGCTATTTGCTCGATTATTATTCACTTTCACCGAAGGTATGTTAATATTATTTAAAAAATAAGGTAACTAATATATTTTGCGTTTTAAACCGTTGTATGTCAATGTGTAAACTACATACAGTATCTAAAATTTAAATACAACGGGGAGTCTCCCCGTGACCACGGTTGCTGCAAAACATCCGAAACGTCGGGCCAAAGTTAAAAATAATCTTCAAATAAGTTTAACTAATAAATCCCGTTTTAAACCGTTAAAGTGTTTTATTTAAATGTGTACTACTCGCGTAAACTATAGACAGTATTCAGAAAATTGCAGTTAGGCTACTCTGCCTCTAGGGCCTCATATTAACTGGCATTCAAGCAGACTTCTGTGCATTGCCGATGCAAAATTTTTTAACTCTGTCAGGCTCCCAGGGTATAATTTTCACGTAATTACTCGTGCTTTGGTCGCAGGTCACGTGGAACACTTTACCTTTGAAGGGACCACAGATGACGTCACTTCGATTGCTCTATCCTTCTACTCTGGACTCTTCGCGTACAACGGATGGTAAGTTACTATCAAGTACTGTAAAATAATTTTAACGGTTTAAAACGCGGAATGGTTTACACATTCGCTTATAAATATTAGTTTCTCATTTATATGAGCTCTAGAAATGGACACTATTTGACTTGATATTAACTATTAAATAAAACTGCTTTAACTGTTTTAAATCGTATGTATTTGTTACCTTCTTTGCAATATATATTTTAATTACGACGTGACGTTTAGACGTTTCGTCTCCGCGTTATTACGGCTGCTGCAAAACATCCGAAAAGTTGGGCCGTTGATAAAATATATTGTAAACAGGCAACTAATACATTTCGCGTTTTAAACCGCTAAAGGTTTTTTATTTAAAATTTCATATTAGGCCCTGTTTTTTAAGAGCTTAAACAAGTTGTGAAACTAATTTTTAATCTGACGTTCATCGTCAGTGTTCGTTAACATGACGTATCATTATTTTTATCATTAAACTTTTTTTAATAACATAATTTAAGATTACAAGATTGATTGAGTGATTAGTTAGATTGGGGGTTAACAGTCAATAAACACAATATCTTGATCTCCAGTGGCCATGGCCGCGTCGGGTCATATTAAAAATTAATTTTTCTTATAAGTAAACTGTTCTATTTGAGTATTATTCTGTTATTTTGTGAAGTGGGCATTATTATCTACTACGGATGAAACACTTTCGTCTTATTAAAATCGAACTCATAAATCAACCTTCTAGGAACTACTTAAACTTCATCATCGAAGAATTGAAGGATCCAGTGAGGAACCTGCCTCGTGCTATCGCCATATCCTGCACCTTGGTCACCATCGTGTACACCTTCACCAATGTTGCCTTCTTCAGCACTCTATCACCAACGGAGGTACGGCAGTTCCAAGACTAGGCAATATTAAAATATATGTCATGAAATAGCCACTTGTAAGTTGCAGTACGTTTTAGTAGATACTAGCTTTTGCCCGTGGCTTTGCCTGCACTAATTTCAGTGTAACACAGTTTAGAATACAAAAGGGATGCTTTATGATAGTTGGGGGCAGATTTAAAAAGTTGCCTGGAAGGCCGCCTTTTATTTATATTATATTATTTAGTTCGTAAGTTTTTTATCTTTTGTGGTTTTATATTATAAATAATAAAATAAAGAAATATTCTTCATCACTCCCCATACTTTCAACTATCTCCTCTAAAAATGACAATGATGTCAATTCGTCGCCCCGTTTTGCCGTGGAAGATGAAATAACAAACAGACACATACGCTTTCACATTTATAATGTTAGGATGGATAATGCAGTACGAGTGCATTCCGAGATTAAAAATTCACAAAAAGATTTTTTTTATAATATTAGTGAAGATACTACCACAATTTATTGTCAATTTAATATAACTAAACCTTTTTACAGGTCTTAGGTTCCCCGGCCGTAGCAGTAACATTTGCGGAACGTCTATTTGATTGGTTCGCGCTTGCGCTACCGGTATTTGTAGCGGCGTCCACTTTCGGAGCTGTCAATGGCGTACTGCTTACATCATCCAGGTAAACATTTATTAACTGTAGTTTAAGCTACACATAAAACTTTTAACGGTTTAAAATGCGAAATAACATAATTTATTTTGACATGAATCTGAAGAGAAAGGAAGTCTTTTATATCAACGTTAAATCTGATACGCTTTGACATTAAGAACGTCCTCTATCTTAACTCCCCCCCCGTGACCACAGCTGCGTAGGTAAAATAGGTTCTAAATAATCCAGTAATTTGTTATGCGTTTTGTTTAAATATTTAATGTTTAACATAGCATTTACTGTACGCGATATATTTTCGTTATTTACATACTTACTTGACTTGCAAAAGTCTCATATTTTAGTATGGATTAGATACATATGTAATTTCTTTAATGTAGTTGAAAAAGATTAGTTTTTGCTAAATGCTAATATAGTAATTCATTTACTTGAAGGAATAATAAATTTGATCCTTTATGTAAGAGATTTTACACGATTAAAATCGACGTTTTACAGTTTATTATTTACACAAAGCGTCGAGTATTTTTAGCTGTTAGTTGTAACAATGAGATTTTGGTACGCGCGGTCTAACGCCATGCTTGGCCGCTCTCAAATGCATTTCGCAACATTTCGATTTCTTATGAGATTACAATAGCCTTCTTGACCACTCTAGTTATTGCATTATTGCTTAAAATGTTTCAATTAAACATTAAGAGAACACTAAAGATACAGTTTAGAAAGTGGGAAATAAGACGTCATTACATTAGTCTACCAGTAAACAATATATCGGTTATTACACATTATATACACGGTTTTAAACGCGATATATATTAGTTAAACATTATACCACGTGACCAAGGCTGCTGCAAAATATTTCCACAAAAGCTTAACTAATATTGCGCGGTTGAAACCGTGTTTTATTTTACTAAGCTGTTTTTGATGAAATTTACTTGAAGTATAAACGTCGCAGATTGTTCTACGCCGGCGCAGCCCAAGGTCAGATGCCAGCGATGCTGACGATGGTCTCGGCGAGGGCCACACCAGCTCCAGCCGTGTTGGCGGTTGCTCTATTATCTTTGCTCTACCTCACCGTTTCGGACATACAGGCCTTGATCAACTACGTCGGGTTCGCCACTTGGGTAAGTGTAAATACGACGACAACGTCGGGTCATAGCTCTATTAAAATTAAACTAGAGGACAGAGAAGCTCGGGGTTCACTTTGTGGTAGGTGAACTTCAGCCTGATAACACGTAAACAAGATGCGTTTGCGGCCTATTGTGGCTGAACACTGAAACCGAAATGCGACTTAACTTAACGGCTTCTTCTTCTGGGTTGGGTGGTTTATGATCCGGAAGGATTTTCGATATTGTTAACAGCAATTGAATTTAAAACACGGAAAGCTGACGATGCCGGTTCAAGTCCTGCCCGAGTCGAAAATTTTTTCAATTTATTTTCGATTTTTAAATTATATAGTGCCTTCATGTGCAATAACATGTGAAAAATATTAATGTTTTCAAACGTTCTAACTTTGTAATTTCATCTTCAATGATTTCTTAAGCTGCAAAGCAAAAGACATTGAACCTTAGTACGCAAGTGTTAAGGTTGAAAGTACACTGCGCGAGAGGTGCATGTATCAATAAGTTGAAAAAAATTCGACGATGAGGTGTAGGACTCGGTAGCTCAATCGGAAGAGCAACAGCACGGAACGCTGACGATGCCGGTTCAAGTCCTGCCCGAGTCGAAAATTTTTTTCAATTTATTTTCGATTTTTAAATTATATAGTGCCTTCATGTGCAATAACATGTGAAACCAGATTTTCAGACGAAGTCTAACATGTTTCAGAAAAATTATAAATTGATTAGAAAATAGCTACGACCCGTTGATTATTAGCTTTACATAGCTACCATTACATCAACGAGTTCGTCATAAAAACTAGTGATATCCCATTTCCTCCTCGTGGGGCATGGGGCGAACACATTTTTCTGTTCGTTTGATTGATCCGTTCCTTAACAGGCAAGTACTTGATCAGACTTCTGTGTCCTGCCCGACCGAAACAATTTTTTGTTTACCTGGGATTCGAACCCTCTCGCGAGGAACGCAATGCTAGGCAATACGATTAACCATTTGGCTACAGAGTCGGTCTCTAAGTCATAAAAACTAACTCAATTATATTATGTTAACATGTGCAATTTTTAAATTGAGTGGGTATAATGGTACCACTGTTAGGACTATTAATGGTATAATAATAACTATAGCTAAGAGACAGGTTGTTAGTTGAATTTCAATGTCTACCTAACCGAAATAATTCATGGTACTCCTAATGTCTGTAGTTTCCACGAGTAGTACATATTATTTTTACTAATATATATCGCGTTTTAAACTGGTAATTCATAGTATTATACTATGGCTGGAAATTGAAACTACTCTACCACATAAATCTCCGAAAATATTACAATATTGTGATAATAAAATGCATGAAAATTAAAAAGTGAAAATTATTGGAGCAAGGACATGTCACTTTGTTTGCAGCTGAGTATTGGCGCAGCTGTTCTCTGCCTGCCCGTGCTGCGCTACACGCAACCCAACCTTGAACGGCCCATCAGAGTGAATCTATTCTTTCCGAGTAAGTCATTTTTTCTCTGCGGGAAATTCATTACAATTTCTAATTCTAGCGATTTGACTACGGCGCGTGTAGTCTTCGTTACTTAGAAAGGCCTACTTTAGACACAAGTATTCTTTACTTATAATTGTTTCCAGGTTGATGTAAAAAAATCTGTTACCTGAATATTTTTTTTACTGCTGAGCTGAGCTGAGAAAACATTCCGATTCCAACTTTGTATGTAAGGTTTTTAGATAATGTGTATGGATTCCAGTTCTGTACATAATCTGTACCATCCTGGTGGTAGCTGTACCGGCCGTGGCTTCGCCAGCGGAGACTGGTGTCGGTTGCCTCATGATCCTAACGGCTGTGCCAGTTTATTTGCTGCTCATCGAGCCGAGAACAAAAATAACTGGTCTTGGGTCTCTTACTGGTGAGTTTTATATACGGAGGAGGCAGCCGAACCATGATCAGTTAATGTCGATTTCTATAATCGCTGTTACAGGCCTCAAGAGAACAATTTTCTCGAGAAAAAAACTTATCCCTTATCTTTTATATTACTTGTAAACACTCAAATTATTCCTACTGAAAATAATAGTTCAACTAATGAAATAATTTATATACTTTTTGAAACTTAATATAATAAATTTTAATACCAGACTAAATTTCAAGATTGATTGAATTTCGTTTGAGAAAAACATATATGTATATTATTATAAAAAATCATTAAATTAAAAAAATATTTGATAAAAAAATGACAACACGGGCGAAGACTTGAACCGGCATCCACCGTGTTCGTGCTGCTGCTGCCCTTGTCGAGATTTTCAATTTATTTTTTTTTTAAATTTATACATATAACACCATCATATAAAAATTTTTCAGACGCCGCTACACGCTTAATACAGAAATTAACTCTATCTGTTCGACCAAAGACGAAGGTAACTATTGTTTTCAATTGACTGCTGACATTTTTTATCAATACAAAGCTTACTTAAATCAAGTGAATCATTATCAATATTTAATTAAAACACTTTAACGGTTTAAAACGCGATATATTAGTTGGACTTGAAAATGATTTTTAACTTCGGTCCGACGTTTCAGTCTCCCCGTGAGCACGATTGCTGCAAAGCATCGATATGTTGGGCCGAAGTTAAAAATCAGTTTCAAATAAGTTTAACTGATATATTGCGTTTTAAGCCGTTAAAGTGTTTCAATTAAATATTGATAATGATTGAAAAATGATTCACTTGATTTAAATAAGCTTTGTATTAAGTATATATAATAAGGATATCGCGTTTTAAACCGTTAAAATGTTTTATTTAAATGCGTACTACTCGCGTAAACTATAGACAGTATCATTATCAATATTTTTAAAGATTAAACTTATTTTTATTCCAGTAACCGCCACAGCCCCTGTACTGATCTGCAGTAACACAAACCGAAATATGTGTTCTCAATAACAAATCATGTATTATATTTAACTAAGACTTATATATAGCATACTTCCATTTCAATATTATGAATTTAAAGCCTTTTAAATGGGATCAACCTTGATCAAAGATGAAAAATATAAATTCATTGAGATAAAAAAAATAAGAAATTAATACAGAGTTATAAACTTGAATGCCGTTACGTTATGTGCAAAATGTCAAATTAGGCCACAGACAATTTTTGTTTTTTTTTTATTCCAAAAGGCTAGCTACCATTACAGCTTATCTCTCCTTTTTTTTATTAATGATTGTCTATAGTGTTTATGTACGTAATTGTGTGTAAATGTTTGCATTTGTGTGTTTATTTTTTAATGTGATAAAAGTTAAGTAATAATTAGAATTATACGTCTGATATTTTGAATAAGGTTTTAGCGCTTTTACCAGAATTTAATATATTTTAGATTTCTATGGCTTTATATGAGTAAGCGCTTTTTTATTTTTGTAAGATTCCCAACTTTTTGACAAATTCCATAAGTTATAGTGTTTCTAAGTTTAATTGTGAATCTCTAAAACATTAATATGTTATTTAAGACTTATACCTGCTGTCTTCTTTAGTTTATTCAATAGACATTTTTGAAATAACTAGATTTCAAAAATGTGTCTAAAACGTTTTCCAAGTTTTGTACAATGGAATAAAAATACAAATTGACAATATTGTTAATATAATAGTGATGCCTCGGGCAATAGCTAGCTTTTATATATACTCGGAAATGTAGGTTAACAAAAAATGCGAAAGCTTTTAATCTCAAATGTATTTACAAATACTGTCATGATGATAGTGTTTAAACACTTACATTGGTCCAAGTGAACCGGAAAATGTTAATTTTACATATCCTACGATATCGATATTGATTTGCGAATTATGGCTGTGTTTAAGCATTCTCATAAGAACTTAGATGCTTTATGCTTACTTATATTAATACAGGTAATTTTGTGTCTGTACATTTGTAAATAAGTATATTTTCATACATAACATTCCAAATTAATTAGAGTATTATGAGTTAAGTTGATTATAAGCTTCTTTCAGTATCCTGGCTTTTGTCGCTTAATTTTTACTATTTTTTATGTAACATATTTAATTTAAATTATTTTACATTACTTTATTTTGAAATATGTACAATAGTTTCTGACCTAAGCTTTTGGGCTTATAAAAATAAACTCGTAAACGAAAGTTACTCAGACTAACAATAATTATGTTTACTGTGCAGTTGCTCACGATAAGCCATAACAAATGATTGTTGTTTAGAGTGTAGTCGAATTTTGTAAAAATGTATAAGTAGTGATTATGATTGTGTACTCTTGTTGATTGTCGTTGTTCTGTTTAGCGCCAAAGGTTGTCTCGCAGACGCAATGTGACAATAAATGATTCAGACAATTATATTCCTTCATTTAAAACCTATAGTAATTTTCATACCATTTAATAGAAAAAAAATTGTATTTCATATTTTGCTGTCTTACTGAGCCTTAACTGAAATCACGGAAGAAATATTTGATATTTAAGTATATAAATGAATACAAATACATGAATTAATGCTTATTCGTAAATAAATTAAAAACCCTACCCTAATGAGGTAGTAACTGAGCGCACAGACTATGCCAATGATTTAACAATAATATGTAGTTTATGGTTTCCATTCATAGACAATAAAGAATCAAAGGTAAGTTGCCACTTTACACAGCTGTCAAGTGTCAATCAATTATAAAGTTTTTTACGTTACTTATTTTACATGATCTCTTTACTCTTAAAGGATAAAGTTGTGTGAAGCTGTTACATCGTTATTTATTGAAGCTAAACATATGTATAAATAAATCTTGTGCACATTTATGATATAACCTAAAAGTGACTAAGAATCGACTTTCTTCAAGCGTGGTTACTATAGCAAATCCAACTACTACATTAAAAACAAGGCAAAATGGTGAAATTCGGCAAGAACAAGTTAAAAATGTTAAACAAGTTGGAGAAACGGCAAAACGCAATCCCGAGTTCTGGAAATAATAACAAAATCCTCAAGAAAAAAATAAACGCAGCGCGGAAAGTAGCCTTTCAAAAAGATGTCTTGAGGGAAATGATACAAAGTGACACGCTAGTTACTCATGTTTCTAAAACAAATGTTCTGAATGCAAAGAATTCTCCCAAACCAGAGGCAAGCGAACCACCTAAAACAAAAATTAAGGCTGTTGAAAAGCAGAAAAGAAGACAGAAGATGCAAGTAAGCGATACAAAGCTTTTATTGAGTCTAATGAAAAAGAAGAACTAATTACTTTTATTCAGGCAGTGTTAATTTTATTTTTAAAGACTGATTATAGGACAATGTAATGTAATTAAGGATTTTTGTTTATTAAATTCATTCTGACTTAAGTTCTTTTATATCAATTTACAACTACCCTACCTGATACATTTCTTATATCTTTTATGAACTCGGGCCTTGCTGGACCTTCTTGTTTTATTGCCACTGAAATAATATATGGAAATTTATGTATGACCTAACAAATATAGTAAATTTTATAACAAAATAACATGAAGACATTTACATCAAAGGTTGACTTAGCATGGCAGTTAGTGGATAGGACACTACCTTAGTTTTGTCTTTAACCTAATAGCTACATGTAAGTAATCTTGCCACAATCTTACAGTAAGGGTAAGTAGGGAATAAGGAAAATTTGACCTTTTTTTTGTTTTTATTGCGAGAAAAAAGCTTATACAGTTTGACAAAGTAGTATAACTACAAAATGAATTTTACACAAAGAGCCTAATTTTAAATTTACATGTGAATTCAATAATGTTTCCTTAATGCTAGGATAATTTTAAATAGGAGAAAATTAAAGATTTTATTTCGATGGAATCTAGAAATAATAGTTTTACAATGCACATGTCAGTCTTTTCACCATCTAAATAAGTAGAACCAGAAGGGTGTGTCAACAAAAGCAGCAAACAGTTTTTCTATTAATTCATTTTGGAGAATAGATTATATACATTTAATCATTTATTTTGCTACACTATTGAAACAAGATTAAATCACACTTATATTTTACTATATAGATGAAAACTCTTGTTCTAGCATATTAACTTATTTGGAAACGAGTGTGAAAAAAAGTAATACAATATAATATGTATTGTACAGATAAATTGGAAATGTTACACTTAAAAAAAATCTTATTTAAGTAAAAATGTGATGGACAGTCCTGCAAATGTTTTCAACATTTTCTCTTCTGTGTACAAATTTTAAACGACATTTGTGAGAGTGGGACCAAGTAATACATTTTGCTGTTGGTTTTAATTCATGACCATCGCATTATAATCTCAAGAAAGCCAAAAATTCATTTCTGTCTGTGTTTTGATAAATAAAAGTAAATACATTTTAGTACAAGAGGATCCTGAAATTTAATTTAGAGAAGTGAAGTTTGCACTAACTATAACAACATATTATCAGTTCAGACTTACAAGACCTTTATGAATATCTCTACATGTTGTATAGACACCTAGAATTAAGATAACTATTTAAGTCTAAGTATCTACAAAGCCGTAGAGAATTTTTGACGTCGTCCAGGTCTACAAGCTTACAGTGGGGCACCCCTGGGGAAACCCTAACGATAGGGTCCAACAGACACAAGGTAAGAGCGAACGCGGCCGTAAGGAAGGACGCGTAAATATCTGTATTTATGATGGTAGAGAATCATCGATGAAAGTAGAAATATCTCTTTTCATCAAGTGATCCAACCAAAATCTAAATTTAATGCGCTGTCCGCCTATTTTGGCTCTAGTTATTCGGAAGTCCACAGACTGAAACCGAAGCCGATTCAGCGTACCCACATTTGCTAATATGAAAAAGAAGGCTTAAAAATTTCTCATTCGATAACTGTATAAGAATAGTTTTCGGAACAGAAAGGACTAGTTTTAGAAAGGAAATATCAAAAGTGCTTATACCTAATATATACTCAGCAAGACGGCAAACCGTTACTACACTACGCTATATAATTACCTATCTTACTTTTAATGAGATTGTAAGACTGGTTGGAGAGAGAAATTGTTTAATTACGACGTCTGCCACGTCCGCGCCTGGGCGAAGACCGAGGCCGGCTAACCGTGTTAGCATTATCATTCTCTTCATTGTTGGCAAATGTTTCACTATCATCTTCCTTCTTTTCATTCTCTTCTTTCAAGTCCTCTTGCTTCCTTTCTTCCTCTAGAATATCATCAATATCATCTGTGTCATCTTCTTTGAGTTCTGAAATTTATTTGAAACAGAGTGTTATCATACTTTTTACAAACATTATACATATATCCAAGGACTTTACTCATTATGAGAAAATTTACATTCACTGGAACACCAGGGAATAATAGACAGGTTTACATTGTGTTCCTAATAATATAATTGATTTTCATTACAGCACTAACAATGAACATAATATTATGTAAAATGTACTAAGTATGTGGAAGCTTCAACCATACCTTCCGGTTTGAAATTATCTAGAAATTCTTCAACCGACTGACCCCAATCTTCCAGCTCGTCGTCTTTGGGTATGCCTTGCTCACTAGCTGGCGCCATCTCTTTCATTTCTTCTTTGTTCTTTTCCTCAACTGTAAATAAAGAATGCCACATTCAACACGATTTTTACGGCCTTATATTAATAAAAATTCTATTAAGAATGGAAAAAATGTTAATGCTAAAATTAGTTAGTACATTGCATGAGAGGAGCATGTAACAATAGGTTGAAAAAAATTAAGACACGGTAGCTCAATAGGTTACAGCAGCAACACGGAACGCTATGGTTGCCGCCGGGTGAAGTCCCGGCCGTATCTAGGATTTTTTAAAAAATCAAAACAGAAAAAAGCGCATTAAAACAAGTTAGTTACCCAAGAAATAACTGCCGCTGATACTGATATGAACTTTTAATGTAGATTTACCTTCTATATCATGTCCGTTCTCGGTGTGATCGTCATTTTCGTCGGGGTCCGGTGACGTCTTGCGCCGTTTCCAGTTGCCGGAATCTTCGGTCTTGATCGGCCGCTTCGACGTCTCGCGATCAGTTATCTGCAAAAAAGCAAACATTTCAAGTAACTTAACCGAGCGGTGTTCACTGTTTGTGTGAACCCATACACAGCACCACATTAGAATTCACCAGAATTTTTGGATTGAGCGTGTTGGATCGTTTGTATAAACGTGTTATGTTAAAACATGAGAATACATTGAAAAGGGATTTTTTTTGAGAACGAAAGAGAATGGAAGAGTTTGATGATGGACAACAAACACATTCAAGTGGGAATTGTACAAACACTCTTAAATGTTCATGATAAAAATATACGTGCAAAATGCAAAGAAAAAACACTTCGAATTGTGTTAATTATACAATCGGAAGCAGTTGTCAAGAACGCATTAACGTGGACAGTGCACATCAAAAGCGGAAGCAAAATTGAAATGCAAGCTTCGCCTTGAAGGAAACGGAAGGCTCCTGAAGCAGAAAAGGGGTCATAAATCCATCTTCATTTTAAATTAGATTATTTATATTCATAAATATTTACTATTTACATCACTTATACATTATAGACTATAGTTAAATGATGTTGCAGTGGTGCTTGTGTGGTTGTTTTACATATCTCTGGAACATATGGCAAAATAATTTATGAGCGCAAGCAATGAGCTATCTTAAGAGTAACAATTAATGTTTACCGACTTTCCAAGAAACTTTATTAGAGACAGCGTATTGTAACGATGTGAGGTATATTTTTATGATAGAAGAGGAAAAAATGCTCGGGGTCACTTGATAGAAGGTAGGCTGTTAACAGATTTTGGCTTTGGAAATTCGGAAACTCGATTAAACTGCACGGGTTTTTTATCTGTGCAGATTTCCAGACTAATTGTCAAATTGTATAAATATTTGTGTAGCCGTCTTCTTAGATAGATCATTGATTTTTGCCTATAGCCAAAAGGGAGATTTAACAATACTGATCTTATTCTATTTAAAACAATAGTAGCTCATCATGAACCAATGTTAAATACTGGACCATATAACGTAAAAAGTTTTCCATGTTATACATCTCCATTTTGGCTTCACAAATAAGTTTTGGGCAATAATTAGAAGTTAAGTAAGGCCCTTTGCAACGCTTAACGGTATCTTGCTGCCTTACAGAAGGTGTAAAATCCAAATCAGAAGTATAAACATTAATATTAATAATAAATACAATTATTTTGATAGATTGAGGGTAGTTTTCACCTTGCCATCTTTCTTGTATCAATTGAGTAGATGACCTATTAAAATGAAATAATTACATTAAATGAATACTATAGAGACTATATAATATTGAACGTTGTAAAGGGCCCGTGTACTAAGAAGAATACTAGCTGTCTTCAAATTTGACGGTTGTCGCGTATTGTAACGGGGCCGACGAAGCCAGCTTTCGTGGTATCTCGACGGGTCGACCGCGTATCCGCGTGGAACTTCATTCCTATAATAGTTCAGAAAATTCTGATCCGCAAAGTACGCCCTGTTATACGTTCTTTGGCCCTCGTGTACATTTTGTTGGGTCTGATAATATCCTTGGCCGTATACGCCTTGCGTATTCCAATGATAGTGGTGGATGTAATTCGGTGGTGCGGCCTACAATGTTAAATAGAAAATCACGATACTTTTGTTTCATTGACACCATCATTATTGTAAGATATTATAATTCAAGGAGCACTGAAGATGCTCGTGAGGTTTAAGCAGGGTACTCACTAGCCAGTTATTATGTATTCGATACTGTTTCTACATAACACGTGAGTACCATGCGTTATTTTACACCGCGAGCGCTTGGTCAGTATCCAGCTTATAACGATTAAAGCAAAGATCAAAAACATTACTTTTGAATAACGCTTCTGTGAAATAGTTGTGCGGTTGTTGTCTTGTCTTGTCTTTCTTTACACAGTTACGAGGTTTTTTTTCTAGAAGCCAATTTAATACCTGAGAGAAGTCCCAAATGTTATCATAATTCCAATTTCGCCAGTCGGTTTGTTGATGTCTGACATTACGAGAATAATATTGTGATTCATTTTGATTCATGTTATAATTTTCAAAATACGTTCTGCGGGGCTAAAACAAAAGAATCGGGAATGGACAAAACGGGTTTAAGTCGATTCGGAAAAGGTAAATTAACAATTTAAACTTAATGAAATATGCCTCAAGGGGTGTTGTCACATAATACCATCATACTATTTTCCAATTAGCACTGGAAACCCATTATACAGTTTTGTGTACCTGATAACCACCTCGCCTATAGCCTCTATCCCTCTTGGCCCAATAATTTCCATTTTTATTCCTATATTTACGCCTTTTACTACGAGTTCTCCTCTGGTTCTGCAGTTAAGGGAAGAGAAACTAAATTTTATTCATAGCAATTAGTATTATAGATTTTTTTTAGATTATAATATAACAAAAGAAGTAAATTGTTATAAAAAAAAAATCTGTAACAATTTACCCCTACTAAGAAACTAATTGCTACAACCCTCTCACCGTCTCCTAGTTAATAAATCTATATTATTTGGCATGCATGCTATAAAGAGTTGTGCTACTTGTATATTTATCAGGAAAATTATTTAATTGATTACAATACAGGAACGAGAACATTAATTTATATTACATAACTAATTGGGCATATTATATATTATGACACCGTACCTAATATTATTGGTGTTAGTATTGTAAGAGTGATTGATGAGTGATTAGACCGGCTGGAGTGCGGTGGGCTGTGCCAACATAGAAACTTCGTGAAGGTAAAGACACACACACACACGGAAACAGACACACGTACTTAGGGTAAATATTATATTTTTCAATGAGAGGAGTGGACAACCACTGATAAGAGGTCGCAGAACAAGATCTAACTGTCGCCATCGTTTAGAAAGAAAAAAAGTAGTTAAGTAGTTAGAGCACATACTCAAACGCTGGTGTAGATGATATCGATATGAACGTCATTAGTAATTTGATTTAACCAGGAGCTCTCTTGTTAAGAATAATAGTTTACGAGGGTTTAAACTTGACTGTAATCAATGCTAATATAATATTTTGAGAAATTGTAATTAAAACTCAATTTCTTTCGAATTTGCCAGAAATAGTAAAAGAACGGTATCGTTAATTTATGAAATTTTTTCCACCACACTCGCGCCGGGTTAATATTAGATTGTATTGTTTCCTCTCCCTGTGTTACATATCTATTATTTCACACATCAAGTTCAGAGCTATCACTTAAAATGGCTACCTTTTTATTCGCGCTAACATTTGGGTGCTTCGGGGATGAATTCCCCTTTCCCCCATCGTCACTATCCAATATTTCGATCGGTTGATAAGTAACCTCAATAATTTCAACGTCAGAATCATCACCAAAGTTATTCATACCTAAAATAGATGCTGTTTCGTTTTTGTCCTGATTCACTTCATCCTCGCTTATTTCAATGGTACTGGATCCTACATTATCTTCTTGCGTTTTATTTTTTTCATTAGCTATATTTGAATTGGTTTGATCAATAGTTATATTATAGTCAGCAATATCCATAGGAAAACTGTAAAGAGCATTATTAGAAATATTTTCCTTTGATGTGTTTATATTTTCAACAGCGTTATCGTCGAGATTTTCTGGTGATAATATATTGAGAACGACACTATCGTTGCCTATGTAGGGTGGAGTATCTATTTCTACCTCCATTAAAGGGGTACTTGCGGATTCTTCGACACTGTTAGGGTTATAGTCAACAGTTTTCCTTAAAAATGCGTCAGTACACGTCACCTCTTGATAATCAAAAACATTTGTTTGATATTGTTGATCGTCATTAATGGTCTCGTTTTCGCCCATGTAAGGTTCTGAGTAAACAATAAATTCATTGCTAATTTCCTCGTTGAACACGTCACTTGCGACATTTTGTCTTACAGTATCTACAGCATTTGCAGAACTTTCGTCAAGAAATTGCTGGGTATTGACATAGTTTGTGTTAATTTCCCGTTTGTTGGGTGAATGTGACTTTTCACATGTGGTGTTCTCGATTGTCACAGAACTGTTGTCTTGATTTTGTAGAGTCATCAAACAAGTTGTAAGATTTTCTTTACTTGGGGTAAACATTTTAGTGACATTTGGCTTTGCAATTTCAGTACCTAGCTCTAAAAGTTTAGGATATGTTAAATCAATACCGATTGATAGTCTTCTAGCAATTACGTTGTTAATGTGGTTTATTTGTAAAAGTGATAATTGGATCAACGACGGAGCAGTAAGTGTTAAATTGTCTTTTGATTGCTACAAAAAGAAAAAAACACCAAATTACAAATAAAAAAAATATTTTCAAACGAAAGGTAGAAAAGTTTGGATGTACCTCTGGCGATATATCCAGTGATATTATGTTTGTTGGAGATTCAAGTTCAGTGGTATCATCTATCAGATTATCATTTTCATCTGTACCCTAAAAATAGCAGCCAATGTAGATTACCAGTGTTAATGAAGGGAATGTATTATAGCGTCTAGAACAACAGTATGTCAATTGACACACTTGGGACCATATAGTGCTTCACGTACCCTCAATTCAAAAGTTTAACATGTAATAATAAAAAGTAAGTATGAATAATTATTCGACTTAAAAGTACCTGATCTTCTGTTGCATAATCTTGATAGGACATGTTCCTTATAAAAGCGATACACACAGCCTGTATCGATGTAATAAATTCTTCCTCTAAATCATTTTCCTCATACTCTTCGTCACACTATAAACATTGCTAGTTATGTCTCCATACCTGTATGTCCCCTAAATAGCTTCCAAACTATAAGCTTATAATGAAATGATGAAAACAGGCATGCTTATGTTTACGCTGATACATTCTACTCTACTTACTACTGTAAATGCGCCGAAGAATTATATCGTTGTAATCATTGTTAAACTTAATAATATGATCATTCGATAGCAATCACTTTACAAAATACATTTATAGTAAAGCCAATTTAATAGGTCATATTTAATTTGACACAACATTGCCTTTTTTATAGATTTTAAAATACTAATTGTCATAACTACAAAATATGTTCCATGGATGGGATGTCAAATGGCCTATTTGTATTGGCTTTACAGTAACATTGGTATGATCAAGCTGTAAAAAATAGTTTTATATATTAACGTTTATCTCAGATATACAAAATGGAACGCCTTAGTGATTTTAAAGATAAAGATACAATTAGAGGTGAATCAATGAAATTGAAATGAAATCAATTGTAAGTTGTACATTTTGGCATTTACAATATTTTTCCATGTTCATACAAGTATAAAGTCTATGTAGTTACAATAATCAGTTACATAAAAATTTAAGAGAACCCACCTCATGTTAAAATCTAAAAGCAGTGAGTTTTAACATACAATAAGTATAAAGGGTAAGCAGGAATGCATTCGGCAGAAAAAAAGCATTGTTTGTATATGTCTGTGAAAGCACTTGTTGTTCCATAAGACTTTACCTCCTTGCCGCTCTTTTCATTGAGCAGTCTGACGAAGAGCTGATGGTGCCTCCAAGTCCGCAGGTGCACTTCAGCCGTCTCCTCAGAGTCGAGTAGCTTCTTGCACAGTAGGCACTGGTAGCACTTAAACTCGCTGAGGAACGAACGGCCTACGCCACGTTCGGTACTGTAACGTAAGTACGTTTTTAGAACGGTTATCAGAAAATAATGTAGGATGTTACTGTCGGATTAAATAGAACATTTAAAGGAATCAACATGGACGATAACAAAGGACAGGCAAGCACGTTAACTTTCAGAGGAGGCCTTTGTACGAGGACAAGCTGTCTGTAAAGCATAAATATTAAGTATTAATGTAAAACATACTTTTAGTTAAGCTACTAGGGACACTCATTGTATTTCAACTTTAAAACAGCAATAAAAGTTATATCTATTTTATTTATTTAAAGTAATTAATCAAAGCAGCCCAAGTAAAATTTAAATTAAAGAGTTGCAATGATGTGCTCTGTTGACCTAAGCAAACATCAACATACTCCTCTTCTTTAACCAGGTAAACAAAGAAAGTCTAGAAATCGTTATTCATGTTTGTGGGATGATGGGAACAATGCCATGATCAGCGCCTTCAGAAGGACTGGTCATCCAATCTTCAATCGCTAACTCCAAAATGATAATAACATAGTTAAAAAAAATATGGCCAACCTGTAGGCAGGATATCTATCATTGCTGATATTAACGATATCATCGCCTTCAGTGTAGTCCAGAATCGTATCCTCTTTGTCCAACTCCTCTTTAAGTTCTTCTGCTTTCTCTTCAGGGTCTCCTTCGGCGGCCTTCTCATCACCTTCCTATAAGGGAAATTAAACTATTATATCCCATATTTGGTCATGGAAAATAACTAAATTAAGATTGCATATTTGGAGGAAGAAAATTAATACTTGCTAACCACTTAAAAATGAATATACCTGACAAGCATCTTTATCCTTGTCTTGAGTGGATTTGTCCTTGTCCTCAGCAGGCTTCTTGTATCGCTGTCTGTCTCTGTCATCTCGCAGGTACAGCTGCTCCGATTGCAGACTGGATATCATCATCACTGGAAGAGTTCACAATTCAATCATTAAAAATATTACGTTGTTCTTTTTTATAACAGAGGACTAACAAGTATAAGCTAACACTCGATGGAAGATGAAATACTTCTGACACATGTATACTAATATTCACAGACGGAAACTGAAATGCGATTACACTCCTTTTCAGCTGTGTATAATGGTTCGAAGTCGAAATCTTCTACCAACCGTAAATATAAACTTTTTCAGGTAACAGGTTTCAGAAAAATTATAAATGCAATTTAGTTTTGTTGGATCTTTAATAAAAAAATATTTTTGGGTTTTTTGTTGACCTTTTTTACGTGTCAAATATGCAGACAAAATTAGATTTGTTTAAAAGTATTAAATGTGTACGTTTAAATTTATGCACTTAACGAAATAAGTATAAAAAAACTGAAAAAAAGCTCTACAAGTCTATGCTTGCATAATTTTTGTCGGAATGAATATTAAATCACAAGCCATTAAACAGTGTTCCCGAGTTACTAGTTATCACAAACAAGTTTACCTTCGTGGCGCCGCTGTGCGTCCCTACACAGAGCGTTACACCTGTTTCGAACCTGTCTGTACCTTTCCACGTCCTCCTCTTTGCCGGACTTCATTTTAGCCTTCAACAGCTTTTTCTCACTTAGCAGTGTTTTAAGGTCGTCCGTAAGCCAAGGTGCTGGAAGGTCTTTCTTTTTGATACGACCTGTCAAAAAGATAAACCCTCCAGCACGCTTATATATTTGCATTATGGCCTATCAGATAGATATTTACAATGTCTCGGTAAGATGGTCATTCCGACAAAATTACGTTAGCTAAGTGATTGCTTGCTATTATTACATGAATATTGAATAAAACAAAAACTAAAAAAAATGAAAGAAAATACTTAATTAAAATCATTAATTACCTTCAGGTTTAGGCTTTCCACCGACATCTTGCTTGTCTTGCATCATTTTGAGATGTTCCGGAGTGAGTCTGTGCTCATCCAACTCGATCCTGGTGGGCATCTCTTTGTGGCACGCAGTGCAGGTCGGGTGCAGGTACTTCTTGAGCTTGCGATGGCCGACTGTTGTTCTGTGACCGGATCCATCTGCCGCGTACATGAGACACATGGCGCAGTAGAAGTCGCGCATCGGTTGCTGCCCTGATTTGCGGGTGCGTTTCATTTCGCGGATCTGTGAGATATTATTTATTGTCATCTAATCGATTGTCAAAACCTGAGCGCGTTCTATATTATCAATGGTAAGTCATGGTAACTTCACATACTACATAGATCTATTCGCAGTTTAGCAGTATTCAAAATGTACAGATTTTGTTTCCACAATAGGTTTATTACAAACAGCTCTGATCTACCTGCGCCGACTTTTGAAAATTCATAGTTTTAAGATTCTATTTTTAAGTTGAACATTTTAACGAAAATATATTTGTTGTCACGTCTATTAGTCTCATAAAAAAGTCAGTAAAACAATTTACATATAAAGTAACAAGTAAATGAAAAATTTTAATCAAGCTACACCTCAAACAATCAGTTTTTAAGCCAAAGGAATTTTTAAGGTTTAAAGACATTTATTTCTCAGGAAAGATAAAATCTTGGAATTACAAATCAACATTATTTTTACAATTCTACCCGCGTGCAACGCTCAAGAAATTATGACTAAGGATTACGCATTACGCTGTATTTGTATGTAGATACAATATACCTTTAAATTCTATAGGAATGTTCTCACCTTAAACTCCTGCCTCATAGTATCTGCAGTCAGTGCATAGCTCTCAGCCGTTTTCTGCATCATGATGGCATGAGCGCGACCACTCAAATGGTTCTCAAATGACCTTCCATCCCACATGCTCTTGTTGCAAATGTGGCATTTTAGCAGTTGAGGGTTAATGTCATCATACCGAGTCTTCTGGCCTGACTTCTCTTCTTGTTTGACTTGGGACTTCTCTGCTTCCTGAGATTTTTCACCCTCTTGCTCACTATAGAAAACTTAATATTTAATTTTATGTTTAGATATAAAAAGAATATAAAAAACAATTGTCAGCAGAATTAGTAAAATCATAGCTGATGCAATCTCCTTTCCGTCAGTTTTGAAAAAGATGATAAAATGAAGTGTATTTGTAGACATATAAATAAAAAGTCTGATACAAAAACATAAGTTTCATAAATCGAAACAATGGTGACAGTCGTTCTGTGAAGACATTGAGTATCCAAAGACAGATTGTCGCTGCTCAGAAATAAAGGTTCCGAAACGGAAATAAAATGGCCACTCCGGTGAACGTTTGTAAAACTGTGTATATAGATGTATCGGAATTGAGAGTCGGCGTGACCGCCGGAAGGAAATTTCGGGAATCCTTACCTCTCCTTGGGCTTATTTTTGGAATCGGCCTCCTTTTTCGGGGAACCCTTGGTTTGTTGCCGTTGCCCATCATTGGGCCTGAAGGGTTTACGATTGCTGTTGATACGCTCACCAGAGCGGTTGTAATTTCCCGTTCTCCGGAAATTACCCTGATTGTTCATCTGAATGGAATTGAGATTCCGAGTTAGTAAGAATAGCAAGCCCCTAGGGGCTATTGCACATGGAGGCATTGGTATGGATGACAAAGCTGCCTGAAGACCTGTGTAAACTTGTAACATTTGATTAATATCAGTAAAACATATAATGTGACTACAATGGATGGCTTTATAAATGGCAAGCTGGCGAGACCCATTTGGCTGATTAAATTGTCTAGGGAGTAGATTATGTTCTGAACGGAAATTACAGGTATTAGAAGGGTAGTTTTTATTTACATCTTAAAAGAGAACAATTACCTGTAGGTCATTGATACTTGGACTTTGGACGATTGATGATGTTTAACATTGTCAGTAACTTGTTGTACTTACTCGATTTGGTGGATATCCACGATCATACCGACCCATGGGCGGCCCGAAATCCCGACGAATAGGCATGTCTAGCAAAGACGGGACTGGATTTTGTCTAGGTTGCAAGAGGTTGATGATGTTGCTTGCGAGAGCTAGCGTTGCCTCTGTAGAACCGCTACCGAGGGGCAGTAGATTAGGGATGTCGTTACCCGGGGCCCCGCCTTGCCACGGTGATACTCCTGGGCGAAAATTCTTCACCCTGTCGTTGCGGACAAAGTCCATACGACGGCCGCCGGAAGGTCTTCGGTTAGCCATTATGTGGTTTCAAAACACCCTTATTAAAGACATCAAATTTTAAATAAATATAGAGTTAAACATAATGAAATGGATAAAATGCACTTGTGTGTTCTTTTATAACTATAAACTATTCTTAAACTTAAACTAGAAACGTAAAGATGAAAACCCATACTTACAGCTTAAATAGACCACAAACGTAATCACTGTTTGAATTATGCAAATGCAAATCACACAAATACTAGCGTTAAGTTGCAATTTTACAAATGACGCCCCACACAACTACACGACGCCGACACAATTAAGAAAGTAGAAAATGGCAGCCGACGGTTAAGTGTTGCCATTTGCATCTTCAAGTTTCAGAACTCCATAGAGTTATAATGTTACTGAAGATATTGTCTGTGGTTTAATGTGGGTTTCAAAATAATAAATATGACAAATCAGATGGGAGTTGAAGTCCATGGGTGTATGTCGTGTATTGAGTGTAGATTTAACTACTACATTAAATGACCTTTAATTAAAAACATTGAGGTATTAAATAGTGTAATTAAAATAAAAAAATGTCTCAAGGTAAAATAGTGCTAATGGCATGTGGAAGTTTTAGTCCACCGACGTACATGCACTTACGAATGTTTGGTATGTTAAATATTAATTGTTACAATAACAATTGGCTCATTTTGCAAATTTTTATACAATTGTCTTTTACTTAATGAAAATATACGACATAAGTTCCGCCCTAAGTAGCACTATTTTTTACAAATTCCTGTTTGTTTATGTACCTATCAATATTTTTTATAATACTGGTATACACTACAGTAGTTTTTCCAATTCGTTTTTTCGTTAGTGTTTTACCATAAAAAACCCATATTTTAGACTTAGATTTCGATTTAGAGATGAATGTTCAATACATCAAAGAACAGAAATTATAATGTTAGCAATGAACTAACTTGAACATAATAATTTATCTGGGTTCTTCCAGTGTGCTAGCTAAGGCAGCTGTGGTTTAAGAGCTTACCAGGACTTTATTTTATTTATCATAAAATCGTCATTAGTTGTAAGCATCTATTATTAGGATATTGCGACATGTTAGCTGCCTGTGTCGTAAATATGTGTCTAATCTTATTGGTTTAAGTTTATCTATGAACCTAGGGTCCAATGGTCAGAATTTTCCCAAAAACATGTTGTTCTATTCTTCAATTTTTGAAATATAGTTGTTGTTTAACTAAAGACATATACAACAATAATTCTCTTTTTCCAGAAATAGCAAAAGATTACATACATTCCCTAGGTCTGGGAACAATTGTTGGTGGGATTGTATCGCCAGTGCATGATGCATATGGAAAGAAAGATTTAGTTGCTGCCCATCATAGGTATGTGGTCTGCACTAATTATATAAACAATTCAGTAATGGTAAGGTAAGGTAACAATATAGCAGTCCCCAATCTTAAACTTCTTACTACTATTGCCAGATTCTTTACTATTCTTTGAACAACATACAACATCTATTTTAATTGTAAATAAGAAACAATTCTTATTAACAATTATCAAGGTCAAAATCATAATTAAAGTATTATTAGTTGTTATCATGCTTGTGGTTTATTTGACCCAAATTTGTGAAGTTACATAATTTTTTAAACAAAATAGTAATAATGTTAAAACTGTAGTGATATAATAAATTGAAATATTTTTTTTATATGGAGATATGTTTATTATATTGATAATTGCAGTTTTTATTTTATAGATTTTTATTTCCTAAGTAATCTCACAAACTGTTCACAAATTTTCAGAGTGGCCATGTTAAAGCTCGCACTACGGTCTTCTGGTTGGATTAAGGTGTCCGAATGGGAGACACAGCAAACCGGTTGGACGAGGACCAGAGCGTCTATTAAGTACCATCAAGTAAGTCAGTCTTAAGTAGCCAATAGTTGACACTGCCTTCTTTTAGAAGACACTGTCATTCCATAGTGCAATAAGTTCTAAGTCCAGAGCTGATGAAACATTTGTAAGCCATTAGAGTAGTTTTTTAGATCACATATTAACTACCCAGGGTATGTTTATTGATTGATTTTTAAAGTTCTTTATTTAATATCGGCTTATACATTACACAATGGTTTATTAAATAAATAATACAAAAATAACTGAAAATTTGAACAATATAAGGTATAAATTTTAGTAACTATTAGAAGGTAGATTATTATTTTGAAAAATTAAGTTAAAAAAGGGCTTTATAGGGGACATAAACGACTGGTTATTTTACCCCTTACCCTATATTTCCTCTCCGGAGAATGTTTGGTTATCCAACAGTCATGTTTCACTAAAGTTTTTTACTTTTATTTATTTAATAGATTTTATTTATTTCTTATTTACACTGTTACACTGTATAATATTTCTAATACAAAGCTACATAGACTTTTATTACTAAGAATTTATAACAGTATCATTTTGAGTACTGTGGGATAAGGATTTTAGTTAAAGTGAATAACATATTTTTGGAATACTTTAACACAGACAAACTGCATTAAAATTGTATGAACATCTAAAAATAATCGATTTTCTCTCTCTAAGTTGTAATTATCGTTATAAACTTTTTTTTATATAAATATAAATGAAAATCTATTGTAGAGACCAGCAATCGAGTAAGTTCGAGTCCCGTCCGTGTCAAACTATATTTTAATTATAATTAGATTTCATCAAAAGTAACGTTCTACAAAGATTACAGGTCAACATTGCATAAGAGATAGTAAGACGCAATATCTATCTCTATAAATGTATCTTTCCTTTCCTAATGTATGCACTATACTAGAAATAGGGGTGAGTCACTTGGATCAATAGCTTAGCATTTAAGTCAAGGTCGGCAGGTACAGATGCCTGTGCAAAGGTCAAACGATAACAGGTGCTTGGTGCATCTATTTGAAAGTAATTTACTAATTATGAAATATATTTTTTAATAATAGAAAGCTTAAAAGTGACTCATAGTTATTATTCTTATACTCAATTCTCATCAGTCTAATGGTTACAATCAACGGGTCGTAGGTTTGATTCACATCGGGACCAAAACTTTTCTAACCAATTTATATATTTTTTTTAACTCATTGAACTTTGTCTGGGTATTAAATGGGTATATCGGATTTCCGTGCAGAATATAAAAGCCGTGAAGTCAAATCTCGCTTAGGTTTCAGTCTGGATATCCGAATATGCAAAGTGAAAGTGAATCCCGTTCACGTCTGTCCTCCTCTGTAATGAGAAACGACATATTTCAGGACACAATCAACACACCACCGCAAACAGAGACGCCGACTTGGTTGCCAGACGACATCCTCAACGTCAACATTGACGACTGTAACTCGAACCACGTGAACGGGAACAGCGATGACGTCACTGTCAAATTATTATGCGGCGCCGATCTGTTGGAGTCCTTTGCGACGCCGGGGCTGTGGTCAGATGATGATGTAAATAAATTGCAACTATTAATTATTATCTGTAGTTTGCGCGCACACATTTAACTAAAACATTTTTAACGGTTTAAGACTCGAAATATAATCACTTATTTAGTTCCCCGTTACTGCGGCTGCTTCAACCACCCGGGAGTTATAATAAAGTCTAAATAAGTTACCTAATATGTTTCGGGTTTTAAACTATTATAATTGTTTAGTTCAGACTATTTAGCAGCTGTCAACATGTCCATAGGTTCGATACCCATTAGGACCAACGCATTTCTAAAATAAATTATCAAGTTCTATGTAAATGTCTTAAATACTGTCTATAGTTTACGCGAGTAGTACACATTTAAATAAAACACTTTAACGGTTTAAAACGCAATATATTAGTTAAACTTATTTAAAAATTATCAAACACCTGGGATCCCACATTAAAAACTCTGGATCCCAATAAACAGCATACCGGCAAACGTGAAGACACCGTTAGTAAATTCTGCAAGGACCCGGTCAGTTTCGCCAAATACCAAGTTCGACGGAACAGATGGCGCTAGCGTAGCAATTTTTTACTTTGACGTCAGAGACATCCTCCATCTTTAGTCTCCCCGTGACCACGGCTCCAAGCTGAGCCAAGCATCCGAAATGTCGGGCCGAAGTTAAAAATTATTTTCAAATAAGTTTAACTAATATATCGCGTTCTAAACCGTTAAAGTGTTGTATTTAAATGACTGGTTTCGTCTGGAACATCTGGATATTAAACGGGTGGTGAGAATGAAAATGTTGTCCTGGTCACGAACTACCCTGCACTGATGAAAAAGCTTAAGGCCTATCTGTGCTAAACTTACGTTTCGTTTACACCTTGAAATTTCGTATGTGCATCTTTTTTAATGTTATGCTGCTGAAGTATTTCTCCTTCCATCAAGTGATAATAAATGTTAATTTTTTTGACTTTCAGTTGGAGGCGATATTAGGACGACACGGCATTGTGGTGGTGTCACGGGCTGGCAGTGACCCCGGCAGGTTTATATATGAGTCCGACATGCTCTATAAATATAGGGTGAGTTTTTGGAAACAAAATTATTGTTTTGTGAAAAATTAAGAAACAACCAGAAAGAGCTATTTAGCTAAATAGTTTTTGCCACTAAAGAAACATTAGATAGGAGTAAACACAAATACAACATAGCCCAATGCCCAATTAGGGTTTTTTTTTATTCTTGTCCGAACTTGTGTTATAGATTAGTATTGAAAGACAGCAAATTTTTGACTCGTACTTTTTCATATATTTTTTTTTAATTAATTTTCTTTTTGTTTTAAAATATTAATTTTTATAATTCTTTGCAGAAAAATGTTCTTCTGGTTACAAATTACATAGTGAATGAAGTGAGTTCAACGGTTATAAGACGACTCTTGCGCAGAGGCGAGAGCCCGAAATATTTGACAGATGACGCAGTGTTATCATACATCAGGCAGAACCAATTGTACGGAACCACAGCGAATGTCACGTGAGTATGCCTTTTGTAGTTATTTTGAGAAAGTCACTGCTTTGAGATACTATAATTGTTTTGAATTTGTATGTACTGTAATGTCCACTTTAGACCATATTATATTGAAAATATTTAAGACTAGACAATAATGGAGAGTGAGCATTTCACTTTGGGACCATCAACATTCATTCTTACTTAATTTCCCCGCTGGCAATGAGCTAGCCTTTAGAAAGAAAAATATAATTTTCTATTCTACAGACACTAATAATGTATCTCCTTCCCTCCCCGCTGCCCGGACACAGTGAGTATAACACAGATAATATTTACGATAAATCACCTCAAGACGTCGTAATGGCGTCGCCCGAAGAGACCAGCTACAAGAACATCCTCATATCGATCCGCGACAAACCGTCGATAATCGATGAAACGATCACCGTAAAGCGCGCGAAAAAATCGATCCTCTCCCACACAGATACTATAACGCCCATAGACAACCTGAAACCCAAGATGGCGTACATTGATAAGGTGTCGCCGAGCTACGTCCCGGGGAAGGCTGTCAAAATTGTCAGTGACGTCACACACCACAGCTTAGACAAGGTAGGTGTCGAGGCGCACTCGCTTGACAGCTTGAGTGAATATTATCTGAACCAGAGGCGATTGAGCGAAGGGAGCGGTGAAAAGCCGCCGAAAAAACGCTGCTCGACGTCAACTATACGCAAGTTGAGACCTGACGAAATGAAAAAGAGTAAGTCTGAGGTGAGTAAGTTGTGCGACAAAGTGAAGAGTATTAAGTTGAAAGACGAGAGTAAAAACTACAAAACGCGCAGTTGTAATGATATTGTCAAATTGATTCTCACTAAACATGGCATCCATGTTATTAGCGATACAGAGGCTATTGTATAGAGGGTAGACCACAGATTCTATACAATTTTTCTTACAATGACGAACAACCATAAGGAGTGTTCGATCGAAATTCTAATTGATTACTATGCTGTTATATAATATTAGCACAAATATATTGATAAAATGTATGTTGTATTTTATCAATAAATATTACTCTCATAAATTTTTATGAAAAGTAGGTTCTTTTACATATACTTAATAGTTGTGTTCAACTTTCTTTAAACTTTTACACTGTATATTTACAGAAATTAATTACAAACTGCATTTTCAATAGATATTCTTCTTAATTCACCAACTATTTCTTCCTCTTTTTTTTCTACAGAAGCTAATTCTAATATTCTAGCAGCTATAATAAGCACAACATTTTACTGTATTCCACTTGTAACGCAGTGCGGGCACATTTTTAACTGGTGATACCACATAACAAACTTCAAACCCGATGCTCAAATGTATACTTCCCTTAGAAATAAGGTATTTTATGGAAATGGTTTTTATGGTTGGTATTAAGTTCTGAGAAACGGTATAGGGTTCAGAGGTTTTTGTAAATGTATATACATATTTATACAAAATATTAAGACTGTTATTTGATCTAATTTTTTTTGAATTGGATTTCAACACTACTTAGAGACACAGTGTTTAATTATTATATGTAGTTTATCTAATGTAAAGGTACTATTTATTTCCAAAATAACTTGTTAACAAAAATTAACATAAATATGAGAGAATTACAAAAATGTTTATTTGTAAAATAATGTATGTATGTCTATATTGGTAGTGTCAATTTGTATACTTTATATCTACCAAATCTAAAACTCGTATATAACAATGTAATTGTGTCAAATTATTCTGTGATAGATGTGAAAGTAGTGCCAAGTTTCATTGTAAAACGATTACATCCACTTTAACGGATTTAAACGCAAATTCATAGCTGGGATCACGAAGGGTTACTATATAATCCTTTCCTTTCTTCTTGTAATTGATAATAAGTATATTAAAAGGCAGATTATCGACCGAAAAACAGACCAGTTCTCTCTAGTCCGTCTGCTGCACAAACTTGAAGTATTGGTAGATTGCCTTCGAAAGAGGCTCTCCTTTGGTTAATCGCTTATTAAGTATTCTGGGGATTGGCATAATAACGCGTTTTAACCCGTTAAAGCTCTACCATCATAAAGTATATTAAAACTAGGTATTAACTTTGAAGTATTTGAATTTTAAAGTCTATTACGTGGTGTAAGTAAAGCTTCTATGGAAATTGTTTAATAAATATTAATTGTGAGAACGTACTTTTATTGTAGTTACCCCCTTTTTGTTATGTTCTATCGAGGCTTTACGTTTTCCCCTGTAGTTTAGTTGTCTGTTGTAACTTTTTTATATATTAAATTTTATATTCATAATTTTCGGACATTATCCGTTATAGTCGTACCTATAGGGTTTACTATTCGTGTCCCACGCCAAAGTTATTGCGCACCCACAACAGCTCGAGAATCTAAGTAGCTTTGAAAATTGGCCGCGAAAGCCTTGTGCAATTAATAAAGAGCTATCATTCATCCTTATACTATGGTGGGATGAATTTATAGATTAGAGTAGAATTTTCAGATATTTACAGATACAAATCTGTATTTGTCTTTATAGATGCGCTGAGTATTTGAGTTTGTTTTAGAATCTCCCACTATTTGTATGGATAACATATTCATTTAAATAAAACACAGCACTGTTTGCGTGAAACATACTAGTCGCAATTAAAAATAAATTGTTTTTTAAATGCGACTCGATGTTTTAAATGCTTTCAGCAGCCGTAGTCACGGGGGGAGTATTTAAAAGTGGGTATGTATTAATGTTTATAATAAAAATAATGTTTTTTTCTAGGGAGGCGGTTGCCCGTTGTAGCTGAAGTGTTGCGCGTCTTGCGGCAACCAGTCGCCGTACGCGCCGATTTGAGACTTCAATCGAGATGAGTCAATTCGTCTATGTCTTGTCTAATATAGGATGCAAGTTTTGACAATTTACACCTAAGATTGAAATTGTCCAGAATTGGGTACAAATGATATTACATTTCTTTAAGGGATTGTAAATACATATCTACTAGAAAATCTATAGTAAAATAGTATTGATTTATTTATATGCTAGATATATATTTATCAGAGTTGCCAAAACAAAATAATTAGATAATGATGTCTCTTTTAATATATGTAGTTTTTTTTTAATATTAAGAACTAATACACTCACAAACGATTATATTCTATTTAAATCTCACAGTCTATTTATAAATGTTTCATCCTATATTAGACATTAAGATAATAATGGGGAGAGTTTGTTTAAACTAAACTGCATATATAACTGTGTATTTTAATTTTATACATGGCTAAATAATTTGTTTAATAAAAATTTATTGCGGTCTTTATGGCGGTAGTTCGTCTTGCATAACGTTAAAGTATGGGCGTCATATTTATCTGATTCGCGTCCAACTATTTTTTGTTTGTTAATTTATTATTATTTTGTACTTATTAAATGTCTCGAAATAGGTAATAGTCTTGTAAAAGTATTACCGTTATTAATGTAGTGTTGAAAATTAATATTTATTGTCATTTAAAGTTACGAGAGTTTAAGTGTTTAAAATCATTCTCGTTTTATTTAAAATAACATTTATTCGACGAACTTTTGAGGAATTTTACGCATAGCAAACATATATGTATATATACTGTTATAGCATATCATTAGCACAATCATGTTACGCAATATGAGTTAGTGGAAGACTTGGTAAAATGTATCATGTCTATAAAAAGAGTCGCGGTGAGTTAAGTCCCGTAATTTGAGAACTGGTTTATATATGTTCGAAGGTTGTTTAAAAAAAGATTTCACCCTACTCTTAAATTCATAACCTCCAATAGGGTATAATGTTGAAAAGTTTTTGTAACGTAGAGACTAGTTATGCATTTAGACCTGCGCGTACGCAGCCTATTAAAATAGTACTGTGGCATTTGGGAGTTTTTATGCGATATCAATTTAATTTGTTATTTATCTTCTACAAAGACGTATTCATTAACTTATGGATAGTACGAGTTATGTTTGTTATTTGGTATGTGATAGCACGTTTGCCATATTTAGATAAGTTTGTCGTACAGTAATGATGTATTTTAATTTTATTTATAATGATTTTGTTCTATAGGTATTCGGTGCAATATTTTTATTTTTAGGTGTTTAGGTTTAGATAGAAATGGGGATAATTTTTTTCATGTGTATTATTTGTTGGGGATAAAACATAACATAGAGCTAAACACATTTCAATTTAGTTCTTTAAAAATATAACTTTAAGCTTTTTTTGTTACTAAGAAAGGCGAAATTTTTTGTAATATATCAGATTATATTTTATATATAATGTTGTGCCTTGACGCTTTTTAGAGTGGCTGAATGAAGCAAGATGTAATATTAAATGTTAAATAATACGTAAGATGCACGTATTTTTCAGTACTTAATATAAAACGTTCCTCAAATACTTACTTATAAAATCTTAGTATGAATTTGATATAATTTCACTAGTAATTTAATGTTTGTTTAAAATAGGTTCATTTTACATGCTTTAAATTGAGCGCCTCCGCAGTATATCGTGTTACCTAGCATTCGTAAAGCATAGTTCTAAGTTCTGCGCCCGGGTTACCAATAAATTCTTTTGGTCGGGCAAGGCACAAAGGGCGATCAGTGAAACAAACTAATAATGTGTTTGACCGGGATGCGAAATTTTAATATAATTATGTAAAACTTCATTACAAAGTAGTTTTCATCTCTTTTCAACGTATTTAATATTAAATTCATACTAAGTTACTTCTTAAAAAAATTAAATACTTTAAAAACGTATTCATTTGAAACACACGTAAATATCAATAATAATGTATCCATGTTTAAATAAAAAATATGTAATGTTGCCTTATAAGAAACTATTGCTTGCAACATATTTCGTTTTATTTCGCAAACTTAAAAAAAAAACAACAGTGACATTAAAAATAATAATATATTGCTTTGAGACTAGATGTACAAAGGGATAATACAAAAACAGTTAAGTTACAACACAGTCAATTGGTGTAAAATTTTCTAAATAAACCTTAAAATTATATAAGGCTTTAGCAGCCCTTTTGCAAAACTATTTTGGTTTTCGAGATGATTGGCATTCTCTGCTCGCTTAGACGAGGGTGATATAAATCACTCGTGATGGCGAAACGTTGAGAAGAAAAAGCTAGAAAACCCAAATAGCTAATCTTAAATAAACCTAATTATTAAGCTCATTCATTATTTAAAATAATAGGGGATACATTTATGAACTGAAGAGCACTTTTATCAAATTAAAACCCCGAATTAAGAAAGAAATAACGAAACTTAAAAAATGGCTTACAGTGCACAAGCACCATTTTTGTGTATCGGTTTTTACGATTAGTGGTCATAAATAAACGTACTTTCGGATTTCCATAGTGTGGAGCGGTCTCTATGTGATGTTTGATGAAAAATTTATTCTTATAAATAATCTTTGAGTACAATTGTTTCTACTATCTATAAAGGTGATTTCCATCACCTAGTTTTTTTTACTTTAGGTGGTTCAGGGCACTGACACCACGGTGTGACTGTCTTATTGCACAAAAGCTCCACATTAACCACTGTAATGGGGAGATTGTCTATGGCAACACTGTGAGTATTGTGTATGTTGTAGGCAACATCATGAACGCTGGAAACTCTGTCGCGACGTCTAGTTACTTCTCGTTGGTTGAAACATTTTCTCATATCGCGTTTACGATAAGTTTTGTCATGGATGTGCCTGGAAATAGAAAACAAATATAAAAACAAAAAAAATAATTATAAATTGTAAGGCTTTTTCAAGGCCTTCTTTAGTTGTGAAACTATCCAATTTAATTACAATTTGGTTCTTGATGAATTGCAAGGTCATATGTAGAATGTCCCTTAACAAAGAAACATAATTTTTGAATGAATGATTAGTAGAAATGCTTACTTAAATGTATCTTCTGTACCGGTTGTTATATTTTCTGGCCTGTACACCTTTAATCCTGCATCCTTTAATCTCACATAGAACTCATCATCTTCTAGACCCCAGCCCCAGTAATTGTTTGACATCCCTTTCACCAATTCAAACTGATCTCTTGACACTAACAATATACCACCAATAAAAGTCTCATAGTGATATTTAGGGTGAGTTTGAGGGGAAGAAATGTGTATTGGACCAAATTCTGGGTACTTATATTTTAAATTATCATTCATTGGTAGCAAATCAACATCATGCATGGCTATATAATCATATTTCTTCTTTGTGTATATAAATCCCACATTTATTAGAGATGCTCTATTGAAACGATTGCTGTCTTTTTGTTGTATAACAAAGATATCAAATGGTATGTCCTGCCGTTGAAGGAATCTATACATGTGTGGTACAAATTCTAGTAATTCTTCAAATCTGTCTCTGAATGGCACAATTATAGCTAGCTTCTTTTTGTCATGAGTTTTTGCAATTTGCAAGTTCTGTATTTCTAAAAAACAAAGAAACTTAAAATATATATTGTAAAATATAGGTATGTTTAAGAATTGCTATTAATATATATATAATTAATACAGCACAATATCTTAATCAATGACAGGTAAAATAGTTAATTTCAGTAAAAATCAAGTAATACCTCTCAAGATTGATATGTTACTATTTTTTATTAAAGACAAAATTTAAATGTATGTTTACAAGCATAAAAAAGAGAGTTTATTCTATATACTTCAAAAACCAACCAATATATGATATGGTAATGTATTTATCTTTATAAACATATTTTTAGAAAATAATATGATAAAAAATTCCAGAGTATACTCTTAGAGTAGAACTACTTTAAATAAAGATTTGAAGGGAGTAGAGTTCGCAGTAAGATTTATGTGCACCCAAGACGGGAAAATACACTTACCTGGTGGTGGTATTGGCAGTGTGGCTATAAAGCAGCCCATTAAGAAAGTAAGGCCCAAGCAAATTGTAAGGCATTTCGAACTACTAATCCGGTAGCCCATTAAACTTAAATTCTTCAGCATTAAACTGCACTTTACTTTCATTCAGAGAAGAATATTCATTATACTTTTATCAGTCTTATCTAATTTGTTGGGGGATAAATAATATCTCATTGATAGATTCTTAAGAACAATATAAAAGATTGTACAAATATTTAGTAAAAGTCACTGTCACTGTCAATATTCGAATCTGTGTGAACATAGACAACTGAACAATTCTGATAACTGTCAAAGCTATTGTCATAAATACCTTTATATGTCAAATGTTATATCGAGTTGTTATTTTTAACGTAAAAGATTGATTTACCGCCAAAAATAATTGTACGTTAATGCTTTTGTCTTAGTAAACTTAAATCGTTGTCAGAGTAATAAAAACTGATATGTAACCGCATAGTGCTACAATCCCAACGGGTTTTGAGTCTCTCTGTTCTTTATTTGCGAAGATCTATAACTTTGTTGTTTGTAAGTATATAAAACATCACATCGTTTCACATTATGAAAAACATTAACTAACTTCTTAAACTTTTTAATTGCATTTAAGTTTGGGCACAAATTATGAACAGTAAAAACAAATATGACGTTTATCAACGCAACATGTCAATAAATATTAATTGTAACCCGCACAAACAATTTAAATGCACAATGCAACTAAATTAATTACGTAAACTTTTTATGGCCCTCTAATAACATGTTGTCGGCCAAACGCTCACGAATTCGGACTTAAAAATAATTGCCTGGTGTCTAATAATGTTGCCATCGATAGCAAAAAAAGTTTATGCAAAAGTAAATATTATTTTTTTCTTTATATATTCATTTTTACAGCACACACTGTTACTAAACGCCTCTATAAGACCATGGCTCATTGGATTCAAGAACAACGTGTTAGGTGCTAGAGGTCCTGGCTTCCACTTTTAGATAACAATATTTCAATGGAACAGAACTTGGTCAACTCTCCTGATAGAATTATACCTACCTCATAGACAGGTAACGTAGTACATACACTTACTTAACACAATATTACCTAAATACTGTCTATAGTTTACGCGAGTAGTACACGTTTAAATAAAACACTTTAACGGCTTAAAACGCTATATATTATTTCAACTTTATTATTTTTAAAATTAGTTTAACTAATATATCATGTTTTAAAGCATTAAAGTGTTTTATTCAAACAAACGTACCTCTATATTTTTAGATGCATATTATGATTAAATCGATTTTGTTAGTTTGTATAAGTCATATTTTAGAGCCATTTCTAAAAAAATATCATTACGGTAAAAGTTAACAATTTTGTATAAGATATTAAAATTATCAAAATCGTTCAGTTCGGAGTTAAAAATTATCCAATATATTTTTGGTACGTCTATGAAGTCTGGCAACACTAAAATAACACGTTCCATTGGACGCAACAATTTATCACTGTCCTCGGCCACAGATAAGCACACTAAACACCTACTTTCGTTCGTATAACGTCTTAGTTACATGTAATTGAGAAAAACTACTAGTTATATTGTATTCGAGTTTTATATTTCAAGCGGTTAATTACAATTCGTGATGGCGTTGAGTAATTAAAGGAATTAACAAACAAAAGTAGGCAGAGGGCTGTTGTTGGTTATTTATATGTGGCCCGGAGCTGAGAGCGTTTAAGACTGCGGTTACGTTATAAGTTTGTCCATTAATTATTATGCGCATCAGGAATTTATCGATAATGACAGGTTACTGTGGCGTTTGTCGAAAATAATTGCTGTCATTGAGAGAATATAGATAATATATACAATTTACTAAAAAGTATGCAATAATTATAAGTTTATTATCGCGTTAATAATCATCTAATTATTGTGCCTTTCGTAATATAATAAATATTAATAATGAGTAGGTATAAAGTAAAAAAATCTAAATATATCAAATAATTAATTGATAATCAATTTTTATATTTAGTATTACATAGGGTTGTGTCATTTTAACTTTAATTCCTAATATTGACAGCGCTAAAATTTTGTCACAAACAAAACAATAGTTTTATGAAGTAAAAACGATCAGTTGTAAATAAGTTTTTGAAATAGAATTTAACTGCTCATTCTCTAAAGCTACAACTCTACAAGTAACGCGCCATCGCTGTCGCTTCAGCCACACTTATGGTCTAAACCTTATCACCCATATAATTATAATCCCATATCAAATGAATGCATTAAAATAAATTTAATGAAAATTATACGCTTAGCAGGTGAATACAAATTGTAATAAATGAGCCGGAACATCGTACTTCTACATAATTTTACTAAACTAGACAATTATTTGTTAATAATAGTTAACAAGGATAAAGGTATACACGGCAGATAGGTTGGTAACGATTAAGAATTATACTAGAAAAAAGTACACATCCTAGCTATTTAATACCTCGATTCTACAGAAATTAATTTAAAAGAGCTTATAAGGGCGCCCTGATATTTTTTATAAGTTTGCATAATTTTGTATACTTAGCAACGAAAAAGTTCTCTAGAGCTTTCCGAAAGTTTAGATCTAGTATCTGCTAAGCTTATCTGATTTTGTATCATACGCCACTTTCGAGATTTTTGGATTAAATTAGTGAAATTGGTACTAACATTCCTTCATGCCCCCATTTGTATTTATCCTTTTTTATTGATTTTGTGCAAATAAAAAGCAGTACGACGTATTTCTATAGACTGAGCTATACTGTTATTTTATATATTATATCTATGAACATATTTCGTTTTATAGACCTAAAAACTAATTCTAATAAATAATATATACCCGCATAGACAAAACTCACAGAAACAAAGTTTATGAAATTTGAAATGTTGCTGAATCTAGGGCGGCCCATAAAAATATCGATAAAATGGGATTACGTGCGATCGACGCGATTGGGTGTAGTAGTCGCTAATATGGACCGCCCGCGTGGCCCACACACCACGATACCATTGTTCCGCGACACTTTGTTATTGATTCAACTAGTGTTGCACTGATTTATCGATTAATCGCTGATAAGGTGCGACAATAAAGTATGGGTAACGCTGATTCCAACAACACAAATAGTTTTATACATTTTACATTAATTCCTAATTTAAAGTTCTATCGATTCAAATACGAGCTTAAGTGCAATTAGTTTGGGGACGTCTTTGTCGCTGTGGGACGGAGTGAAGTTTATACATTATGGCTCTTATTTATTTATTTATATATTCTTTATTGCACAAAATATTAAAATATTACAAATTAAACTTATATACTAGAATGGAGAGCAATGGGCGGCCTTATCGCTAACGAGCGATCTCTTCCAGGCAACCTAAAGTTATGAAATGTTAAGAAAATGAGATGTGGAAGGTAGGCGAAACAAATTAATACAAACAATAAATAATCATAAAAAAAAAACACAGAACTTGAAATAAAAATATACAGATCTAAAAAAAGGTTACATGTTTACTAACTTAAACGAAGGGACTAATTATATTTAAAATAAATAGATAGTGACTTTACTCAGATGACAGACAGGAAATGTTTATAAAGGAGCCGTTTAAAGGATGGGAGAGAAGGAGCCATGCGTATGGAAACGGGTAAGGGTGAACACAAGGCAACTGTGAGCAATCCACTCTCGAGACAAAATAACTTCCTAAACAATAACCTGGCTTTTCAAAGGATTGATTTTAAGGCCAAAAACTTTACACCACTCTTCTATTATAAGAAGATCATCATTTGTCGCCTGGATAGTAAGAAAAAGGTCCTCGAGAGAAGATTGGGAATAAATTTGAAGATCATCAGTGAACAAGTGATAGCAAGTTGCAAGAAGAGAGATTAGGGAGTTTATAAAGATCGCAAAGAGAAGAGGAGAGGGGACTCCTCCCTGAGGAACACCAGCCGTTACATTTTTCCACTCAGAAATAATATTATCCCCTCCCCCGTTGATACGTTGGCGACGACCGTAAAGATAACTCGAAAACCAGTTTATGGAAGATGGTGAAATGTTATTAGAGCGGAGAAGGCCAAGTAGAAGCTCAAAATTGTTAATACAGTTAACTGCCTATCATCCACACCCTGGCGGATATCGTCGGCCACCTTCACGAGAGTAGTAGACGTGCTATGACCGGGACGGAAACCAAACTGCATTGGATCAAGGATAGAGTTCTTCTTAAGAAATTCGCAAAGATGCCGGTGGACAATACGTTCAAGAACTTTTGAGAGAAAGGGGAGGATAATGGTGGGGTGGAAGTCAGAGAAATCGGTATGATTCGACTTTTTGGGAATAGGGACAACCAACCCGGATTTCCAGGCTCTTACGAAGACATTGCAACTCGGGGTAGAAAATTTTAAAATAGAAGCATTAGATTACTATCTAAAAGTATTTTATTCTCTTAAAGCCAATAAAAATGTTTGTAGATGTCCTTCACAAGGAAAAAAATCGATATACCTTTTTAAATTTACGATACGTGCAGGGCTTGAATCGGCATCCACAGCGCTCTGTGCTGTTACTCCAACCAATTGAGCTGCCGATACACGGTAAAATCGATATAATTAGTAGTGCAAAAGAGGGACATCACTATTTGCAGCAATCAGTATGAAGCGAAGCGACACGGCACGACCCATTAAATGGTTCATATTAAACTGTTTAATTTATGTTTTGAACTTCATTAACTTGGGGTTCGTTTGTGGACCATTCATTCCTTGAAATGGTTGCGTAAGGAATCATACTTAAAGCCTAACCAAAGCTTGAAGGGTAGAACGAATTATACCTATATGACATCAAGCCGCCATTTCTGCAACATTTTGTTTCTTGAAACATGAAATTTTAATAGTCATGTAGAGACATATTATAAACAAGCAAATCCCGTTGAAGAATTTTATGTCTAGTGTAGCTGTATGTTATAGCTAAAAAGGCTGCGAAACGACAAAGTTCCATATGGTAAACAATGCCTATCGGAATAAAACACTTTTAACGGCTTAAAACGCGAAAGCTATTCGTTATTAACGACTTATTTTAAATCCGGCCCGACGTTTCAGATGCTTAGCCGTGA